AGCTACCCAGTCCTCTCTCTGCTTTCTAGCAGTCCCACCTCCCCGACCCCCCCCCCCCCCTGCATACACTCCTTCATTGTGTAGGACAGGCACTGCTGCACTCGGAAAACAAACCAGCCCTTTCAGCCAGTGCTGGGAAGGCATCCAGACCCTCTGGCCCCTGCTCACCCAAACCAGGCTCCAAGGCGGTAAGACCTAGAAAGGCCCCTTGCAGCTGCAGAGCCTGGAGCCAGGACTGAGGAGGGGGCAGGAGGCCCCCAGAGGGTGAAGAACATGGCCTGGTGCCTGAATTTGTTCTGAGGCTTGATCCAGGCCCTATAGGGTTTTCAGGAGGCCTTGAGACCACTTCCCATTAGCAGAAAGATGGTTGTTTGAGACAAAGCAAACTTTGTCAGGCTCGGTTGCTTGTGTGGCAAATCTTCTCCACTCAGCTCTGGGCCCCTTTGCTGAGTGAACCACCTCCAGTATTATCTCTAAGGAATGGAATTCAGAATTTGAAAACCATATTCCTGAGGAGGTTGCTGAGAGCTCTCTAGGGCCCTGGAAACGAGGTCAACTTGTGTTTTTAAAGATTTCAATCTGATCCCACAAAGATTGTTTTGAATCTCCACCATCTGCTAAAAGCACAGAGCTCCAAACTCCAGTGGCTAAAAGTTTCACATATGCAAGCCAAAGACAAGAAAACGCATAGCAGGTGGTAGGTTAAGAATTATCTTCAACCAAACATCTACTGAGCACCTACTACATACATGGTTTTAAATAAAAAGGATCATATATGCCAGGAGAAATTCAAAGTCCAAAGCATTTAGGAGCCAGGTAAGAAGATGGTAGGGTATGGAGGGGTTTGTAATGAGATAGGGCGTACAAGGCTCACTAATTGGGCACTTGCTTCTCAGCTTCTGATGATTCAGTACCCTCTGAAATAATCAGGACCTAATCTTCCTGCATACCCCTGTATATTGTTACTAAAAAGAAGCCAGAGCTGGGCACTAGTGGCTCACACTTATAATCCTAGCTACTCAGGATGCTGAGATTTGAGGATCATGGTCCAAAGCTGGGTAGGGCAGGAAATCTATGAGACTCTTATCTACAGTTCACTACTAATTAACTCCAGGAAGGGAGCCGTGGCTCAAAGTGGTAAAGTGCTAGCCTTGAGCGCAAAAATTCAGGGACAGCACCCAGATCCTGAGTTCAAGTCCCAGGACTAGCACAAAAAGAAAAAAAAACCCTCAGAGTTCTGTAAAGTCCTGTAACATTTTCAGATGTTTATATGTTAAAACGTAAAAATAAAAGCCATCTGTAGGGTTGATAGGGCTAGAAGCCTGCTGATTTCCTACCTCTGGTGTATGCAAAGTGCTGGACTCAGTGATTGTGCTAAGTACAGAACTGTTACTAACGGCACTATAACCTCACCACTAACAGCATCTATAACCTCACTTAGTCTCACCCAAGCCTCAAAGGTTGTATGTTTATCCTTGTTTTAGAGGAGTGAGTGCAAACAGTCTAAGAGATCTGATTTATAGATTTCCCTTCAGCTTCTTTGCTATTCCAGGCAGATCTGCAGGCTCCCCAGAACCTTCTGTGTGCTAGGAAGTCAGGATGGGGTGGTCACAGCTCTCTTTCTCCTCTGTCCCTAGGTCACAGCTTCTTCTTCAAGGGTGCTTATTATCTGAAGTTGGAGAACCGAAGTCTGAAGAGCGTGAAGTTTGGAAGCATCAAGTCGGACTGGCTGGGCTGCTGAGCTGGCGTGGCTACCACAGGCCTTTTCTTGCCCCATTCCCCTGACAAACCAGGCCCAGAGTACCAGGGTCAGATAAGGAAGGAGGGGGCCTTGCATCCTGCCCTCAGCTCTATAGTTAACCAGTCTTCTCACCCTCACCTGGTAATTTAAGATTCCAGAGAGTGGCTCCTCCTTCCTGTGCCCAAGAAAGGTGCTGACTGTACCCGATCCCCGGTGCTCCTTCCCTGGAGCTCCCGCCTCTCCCAAAAAGATGTTTCCAGATTCTCAATGCAGCCCTGCTTCGGGCTGCCCTGGTGCTGCCCCCACTTCAGACTTTCCTCCCTGCACAACCTTCTGTGGCTCACAGCACCCTTGGAGCCAACAGAGACTGTCTCAATAGGGCACTGGTGGCCCAATAGCCCAATAGCAAGGGGCAGTGGGATATACAGGCATAACCAGGTGGCATTGGCCAACTCCTGGATTCTCACTTGCTGGCTGCCTAGGACCTTCCATACATTAGCAGTTTGCTTTGTGTGCACTTTGTTATTTGTCTTTTGATCTTTTTATTTTTATGGCGTTTCCCGGACAGAAGGACTCAGGTTGTCTGAAGTCATCGCGCAACACATCTCAGCCCACATAGGGATGGCTCCCTTGTTCACTCTGGAGAGTCACTTCCTCCACTGGATGGAGGAAACCCAAGCCATGTGCAGCCCTCTCCGCCTCTCCCTTCCACAGTTCCCCATGGGAAATGGCAACACATGTAAATAAAGACACTAATTGAGTGGCAGGGTTTGGCATCTGTTTTAGGGCATTTTTCTCGCCCCAGCCAGAAGAGAAAACCTTAAAAGATGGATTCCCTGCTCTCTGCAGGGTACAGATAATGTCGAAATAAGCAGCTAGAGACCATCAGCCCCTCCCATCCATCAGTAGGGAAGAGCTGGACACAGCAGTAGTCAATCCTGTTGCCTTAGTTACAGGAACTGGTCAAGATTTGCTTTCTTGGAATCTCTTTCTTTTTTCGTTAACAATTCTAGCAGTTCTAATTATGGTCCTACAGCAGTACATGTCCATCAGGCCCCTTTTCTTAGCTGGGCTTACCCTGTGCCAGATACTTGGCATACATCATTTACTTTTAGCCTTTATATCCCCTTAAGAAGTTGCTCTAGAGCCAGATGTAGCAGTCCAAGCCTGTAATCCTAGTTACTTAGTAGCTAGAGAGTGGGAGGACTATGGTTTTGACACCAACCTGGATATAAAGATTCATGAGACTTGGAACTGGAGGTATGGCTCCAGTGATAGAAGGTAAGCAAAGGCTCAGTCCTGAGTTCAAGCCCAGGTACTGAAACATAAAAAGGAAAAAGCTCATGAGAATCCATCTCAACTGATAGCTGCGGGAAGTGGTGAGAAGCTGTTGTCTGCAGTGATGTGGAGAAGCACAAGTAGGAAGAGGGCAGTCTAGCCTAGCCCAGACATAAAGTGAGACCCTATACCAAGGAGGTATGGGTCGATTAGTAAGGAGAGCCTTCCTTGCAAATATGAGACCCTGAGTTCAATCTCTAGTACCACTGGGAGGAAAAATGTGGTTAGCTGCATCTCACTGATGAAGAGACTAGGCCTAGAGAATCCTAGTGGTTTTCTAGGGTTTGCCCAGCATCAGAGAGCTGTTAGGTAAAACAGAACTGGAGTCAAGGTCAGAGGTAAAACAACTGGAGTCAAGGTCAAGGCTGACCAAAGGCTTCAGTCTTACCCAGCATCCTTGACAGCAGCATGACCTTGCTCTGAAATCTCCCTAAGTAGACACATGGGGGAGAATAATGTGAGCTTGCTTCTTCCTGTCATACATCTTACTTCTAGTCCCCTCCTGCTTTGAAATTAAAACCTAGGTTTATTCAGAGGTACCTGTTACTGATAGTCTGATGGTCCATTCCTTCAGGGCTTTGGCAGAGCTGGGAAAGGAAGTGGGGTGATACCTGGGACTGAGTCATCTTTTCTCTATAGCTTGCCCACTGGTTCTGGTTCTAGGGCTCTGGAAGGCAGGTGTCTGAATAAAGAGCCACAGTGTAGACAATCTTCGAAGGTTATGAAGACTCCTAAGGCTGGGAAACTTCTATCATGGCTGTACCACACTTCTACTGGAAATTCTGTGTTATGCTGAGAGAAAATTCTATCTGATCCCCAACATACTGTTTCTAGAGTGCTTTTCTATGAACATTTACTCATGCATTGCTTGACTTAATTATTGCTGCGATCCTATTGGTAGGCATAATCTTTCAGAGGAGGCAACAGGCTCAGCGAAGTTAAGTAAATTAGGCTGAGGCAGGATGGAAAGATTCTGGGATTTGGTAGTGGGTAAATTTGGAGAAGTAGCTGTCCTAGAGCCCATTTCAGAGGGTCCTGGCTTCCGCATGCTCTGAGCAGACTGATCGCTAAAGATGAGCGGTCCCCTTCCTTCAGGGCCCCATCAACTGGTTTCAGATCCTGGCAAAACCCTTATTTCTCCCTTCCCCAGCTTCCTACCCATCAGGCCCTAATACTTCCTCAGGGTGAAATGGAGCCACACTGCCTACATTGTTTCCCTTTTCGGTGTTGGGTTCCTCCTCTGCAGTGGAAGCCACATTTTTATTTATTATTTATTTATTTTGGTCCTTTTCGTAGTAGCAGCAGTGCAGGTTTCCTGTGAGGAGCCATCTCCCCATTGTCAGCCTATAAATTTTCCACGAGTCTGACTTCACTCCTGATAACAATGCCTTTATCAGCTGCAAATACCAAAGTGGTTGTTTACACAAAAAGAAAGCACACACAGAAGTCAAACAGATACCAAGCCCAACCTCCACGAATTCAGTCACTTAGTGTGAAGAGCCTGACTGGTCAATCTCTCCCGGATCTAGGTTCTACTTCTCTTCATTTAGGTAAACTGGGTCCCGGGAAGATTGAGATTAGGCCGACTGGACACGGAACCAGCACAATGCAGTGACATTCTTGGTTTTCCTGACCCTACAGCAGAGAAGGCTGTCTGGTGTGTTTTGTCGTTGCAGGGTTAGGGATATTGAGGTCCACTAGGGGGTTCACTGTCCTGAAGGAAAGCGCGCACCTGCAAAGGGGGCGTGGCCACACCAGCAAACGGGCGCGGCAGGCACTTCCGAGGGTGGGGCTAGAGCTGAGGGACCCGGCGCCAGCCCTGGGCGGCTAGGTAACCTGCGCGTGCGCAGAGGCCCCGGAGCGGCTCCCAGGGCTGGGACCTCAGTGGGACTGTGGCGGGGCCAGGCGGCGCCCGCGCGCGCTGTGCATCTCGCGTTCTGCTCGGGTCCCACGCGCGGCTGAGCCATGAGCAGGTGCGCCGAGGCGGCGGCGGTTGCGGCCACAGTGCCGGGCGCGGGCGTCGGCGACCCGGGGCCGCGGCCCCCCATGGTGCCGCGCCAGGCGTCGTTCTTCCCGCCGTCCGTGCCCAACCCCTTCGTGCAGCAGACGCGGATCGACGCGGCCCGGCGCGTGCAGGTGAGGGGCGCGCGGGGCGCGCGGGGTCCGGATGCAGGTGAGGGGCGCGCGGGGGGCGCGGGGCGCGGGGCGCGCGGGGTCCGGATGCAGGTGAGAGGCGCGCGGGGGGCGCGGGGCGCGCGGGGTCCGGATGCAGGTGAGAGGCGCGCGGGGGGCGCGGGGCGCGCGGGGTCCGGATGCAGGTGAGAGGCGCGCGGGGCGCGGGGCGCGCGGGGTCCGGATGCAGGTGAGAGGCGCGCGGGGGGCGCGGGGCGCGCGGGGTCCGGATGCAGGTGAGGGGCGCGCGGGGCGCGCGGGGCGCGGGGCGCGCGGGGTCCGGATGCAGGTGAGAGGCGCGCGGGGTGCGCGCGCGGTCCGGATGCAGGTGAGGGGCGTGGTGCACGCGGGACCCGCGGCCGGGAAGCCAGGGGCCGTGGATCTGACCCGAGAGGGGGCTTTGGAAGTGCTGCGAATCCGAAGGAGGCCGAGATGCAGGTCTGAGGGTGGAGGAACTTGGCGGGTGGGAAGGGGATCCCGAGCGGAGGGGGTCCGAGCGGGGATGGGGCCCCCAGAACCCTGGCTTGAGCTCGTGTGAGTGTCACCGAAGCGGACCTAGACCGGGCAGGGAAGAGCTGGGCCCTTTTAGTTTTTCTTCCTTGAGGAGGGAGAGGAGGCAGACTGGGATGGGTGCAGAGAGGGCGGAGGCTCGGGAGCCCAGGTGTGGACTTGGAACAGGTAAGGCTGGAATGATGGAGCCGAGCCGAGGCACCCAGGCTGGGGGAATCGGAATCCAAGGGAAGAGAGATGTGGGAATCAGTGTTTAGTCAGGAATCGATCCTGAGATTCCAAGGGATGACAGGTGGTCCGGATGGCCTCCATGGTTAAAAACGCGCTGGCTGCACCGAGAAGAGTCCTCTCTCTTCCCTTTTCTCTCATGCAGGGGTACCTTTACCATTAGCAGTCCAGTCACGTTGACTTCCTCTCTGAGGAAGATAGGCGTCTGGTCAAAGAAAGCATGGGAAGAGGAAGAGGCAGATCAGGGGCGCTGAAAGGCTCAGTGTCACGAAACTTGAGAGTTCTCAAAGCTGATCTTCCTGTCTTTCTCTCTTGAGACACCTGAAACACTTTGAAATTCACTGGCCAGGATTCAAGATTAAACTTAGTCAAATTGGTTACACTCAAATGAAAGTATACACATTCATTTCGCTTGATACTTCGGAGGGAGGACCCAAGTGGCACATGTATAACTATCTGTTATTACCCTTACAGTGAATTTTGTTTAGAGAGCTCTTTCAAAGAACGCTCTGAGGGCGATCTGTAATGGTGTACCACGTTGTGGCTAGAAAAGCTAGTCATTTACTAATGGTGTGACTTTGGCCATGTCAGTTCATCTTTTTGAACTACTTATCTATTCAGTTTCATCGGTTAAGTTGGAGTAATTGTACCACAGAATTAAAATGGGGGTTAAAATAGAGGCACTATGTAAAGAAGTGTTATTTGTTGATCTTAATATTGATATTTAAAACTAGTATTGTCTACAAATTGCACATTGTTCTTAAAATTCACTGCTTAGATTGAGAGGGAGGAAAAAAAGCTGTGGGCCTGAGAGGGGAAGGCTTTCGTCTGAAAGGAGCAAAGGTGTGGGTTCAAGAATTAAGGACATGCCCGGCACCGGTGGCTCACGCCTGTAATCCTAGCTACTCAGGAGGCTGAGATCTGAGGATCGTGGTTCAAAGCCAGCCTGGGTAGGAAAGTCCGTGAGACTCTTATCTCCAATAGACCACTAGGAAACGGAAAGTGGTGCTGTGGCTCAAGTGGTAGAGCGCTCACCTTGAGCTGAAGAGTGCAGGGACAGTGCTCAAGCCCAGAGTTCAAGCCCCTCGACCAATCAAAAAAAAAAAAAAAAGAATGAGGACAGGGGATCAGGTCATTTGAGAGGGGAGGGAAAGAAAAGATGCAGAGAGAAGAAGGGATACTTTTATAAAAAGTTTAAAAACATAATAACAAGACACCACAGAGTTTTCAGTGACTTAAATGATCTGGGCAAAGAGGAAAATCGAATGGACCTGGTTTATAAACAATATTGTATGTCATCCAAATTAAAATATTGGCATCTTGTCACTTAAGTATGATTTCATGTAATTAATTCAGACTTAATTTGAATTTTGAATGATGAGCAATACTTTGGCTAAGGACAGTTATCTTTTTTTGCATCTCATTATAAGGTTTAGCTTTAGCTTTGCTCTCTTTTTCTTATTATTTTTTTCTATTTAAGATTCAACCACTTGGTGGTAGATAAAGAGTATATAGAGTATAAAATGGAAAGTAAGGGTCTAACTGTGGGGTTATTTGTACTAAATTTTTTATTGCATGCCTACAACATACAAAATATAGTACTCATCTCTGGTGATAAAGCATGAGTAATTTACTCACCAGAAAACCAGAAGTGGAGCTGCGGTTCAAAGTGATAGAGCGCTAACCTTGAGCAAAAGAGTTCAGGGATAGCACCCAGGCCCCTCTCCAGCTCTCTTTCCAGGTTCTATGCTGTGGTTCTTTTCAGCAGTCAGGATTATTTCTTGTTTTTTCTAGTGATGAGATCTTCCTGGAAGAAAGTCTCAGCTAATAATCTGCCAGAATGACTTGGGGACTGTATTATCTCATCTTCCCCATAGTCCCGTTTTCAAAACCCCATGGTACCACAAAGACCAACTACCCTTGTACATGCATCTGCCATCTACATAGAGCTCCGAGTAATGTTACACCGGTCTGAGATTACCTTTGTGTAAGTTCTGAACTACCTAGGTGTCTGATCACATATCTTTTTGTTAGGAAGGAGAATGATTGCAAGGCTTTACTGGATTTATGAGCTAGTTCTTAAGTGAAATATACTAGGGAAAGTCTTGGTCCCAGGCATAGTGGAGTAGCTTAAATCATGCAAATTATAATCCCAAAGTCATTGTAAGTTTAAATCATACAAGTTACAATCTCAAAGTACAACATCTGTATGAAGGCACTCTGGATGGCAAAAAATAAGACAGAAACTTGAGGAGGAATTGTTTCTTGTAAGAATGTTATCGTTATTATGTGAAATTTCTCTCTACTCCTCTTTTTGTCCTGAGAGTTCTCTTGACAACATAGGAGCAGATTCTTGGTCTCATAAGCCCTAAGTCTGTTGAGGCAGAGGGCAGAGGGCAGAGGGCAAAGGAGGACATAAGACAGAGGGCAGAATGCAGGGTAAGAAGCTAAGCACAAATTGGTATGTGAATTCCTCTCATCTTCGTTCAACCCTCAAAGTGTATATTAGCACAGGAGCCTGCAAGGATCCTAGAGGAAGCAACAACAGAGGGATGAAGAAGCTGACTGGACATTTGGACTGGTACTTACAATAGGGCAACTATAGTTAGAGCCCCACCAAGGAAGAGGACCTCAGTGAGCACCCCGGACTTTACAAGACAACCTCACAGAGACAATGTCCTAGGAGAAGAGCTGTGTCCTAGGACTAAGTCTTCAGTCTCAGATTAGGAGCAGATTCCTCCTGCTCCCCCAATTTTCTAGCAAAATATAAAACCAAACCTCCACCAAGTGGTATTAATTGACTGGAAATTTATCTACCTGCTGGGCATGGGGGAGATTAACACTCTTCAGAAGAAAGTAACAGAATCTAGGTATCTGCAATATAGTATTCAAAATGGGCAATTAAAAAACATAATGGAAATTCAGAGAAATAAAGTAATGGGCCTAGGTCAAGAGAAAAAGGAGAGCTAATCATTTACAGAAGTAGGTATATGGAAAAATAATGTATGTAGGAATTTGTTTGTAAGTAGCTCTTTGGAGGGAGCTATTTTAAACATGCTCAAGGATGTAAAAGAAGATGATTATAACAAGTAAATACTTGGCAGGAACTCCTGAAGAGAAAGAGAAACTTTCATAAAGGAGAACCAAATGGCATGCTAAAACTGAAAGTAATATGTTTGAAATGAAAACGTCACTGAATGGACTTTACAGACCACATATAGATCCTCTCTGCAGCCCAGCTCTTGGGAGGCTGAAGTAGGAGGCCAGCCTGGACTATGTTGCAAGTTCAAGGCTAGCCTGGGAGACACTGTTCCAGCCCTTCACCTCCCCATCCCCTAAAAGAAAGCAGAAAAAGGAAAAATGGAGAAATATAAACATATGAGACATGCAGAAAAGAGATAGCAAAACCAAAAGCCTGTACCCCAAAACATCAATAATTACATTAAGTATATGCAAACCAAACCATCCAATTGAAAGGCCAATATCAAACTAGATAAAATATAAGACCCAGAAAATTTCAATATAAATGTAGATAAAATGGAAGAAAATCTACTAGGAAAACCCTAAGAGTAAAATGCTGATTTTACTATATTCACAACAGATAAAATAGAATTCAAGATGTGTTGTGTTATATTAAGAGGGATGTTTTGTAAAACAGAAAGGGCAATCAATTAGAAAATCTTAGCACAGGCTGGGAAGGTGGCTCAGTGGTAGAGCGCTTGCCTTGCATGCTCGAGGCCCTGGGTTCGATTCCTCAGCACCACATAAGCAAAAAGAAAAAAGCCAGAAGTAGCGCTGTGGCTCAAGTGGTAGAGCGCTAGCCTTGAGCTGAAGAGCTGAGGGACAGCGCCCAGGCCCAGAGTTCAGGCCCCACGACCGGACCCAAAAAAAAAAAAAAAGAAAAAAACTTAGCACAATGTTTATGCAGCGTTGAAAGTATGAAACAAAATGAAGAGCTCTATATTAACATAACTGAGGATACTAACTTACTTAATAAAATAGGATGATGAAACCAGAGATTAAAATGAAACTGCATCGAAGATTCAACCAATGTCGATAATTACCTTGATGGAATTGACATTTGGAACACTAGCCACCCCTCTCTAATTGCAGAATCTGCTTTTCAGTATACGTACTGTGCTTATCAAAATAGACTAAGTGCTGAGCTGTAAAAAATCCCAATAATTTTCCAAAGATTGAAACACTACACACATGCTCTCTGACTGCAAAACATTATATTAGAAATCATCAATAATGAAAGATACACACACACACACACACACACACACACACCCTTAAGTAAAGGAAATGAATATAAGGGCAATAATCAACAAAAGAGAAAACAAACCACAAAGAAAATTAATGAAGTTAACCCTTTTGTTAGTATATTTGTAGAATAGGTTAATAACATCCCTACCATTACTAGAGAAAATAAAGATCACAAGCATCAGGAATGAAAGCACACGTCATTACATAATGCTTACCAAGAGGACATTATTAACAACTAAAAACTAAAAATACACAAGAATATTAGCAGACTTTTATGAAAGAGTGAAGTGTGTGTGTGTGTGTGTGTGTGTGTGTGTGTGTGTGTGTGTGTATTTCTGTGTGCACATGCATAGGTGTGCATGCCCATGCACCAGTCCCAGGTCCTGTGGCTTGAACTCAGAGTCTGGGTGCTATCTCTGGGCTTTTTGCTCAAGGCTAGCACTCTACCACTCAAGCCATAGCTCCACTTCGTGCTTTTTGGTGATTAATTGGAGAAAAGAGCGTCATGGACTTTTCCTGCCTGGGCTGGCTTTCAACATGATGCTCAGATCTCAGCCTCCAAAGTAGCTAGGATTACAGGCATGAGCTACCAGGACCTAGCAAGAGTGTGAATTTTTAATATATACCATATGCACCCTCACACCTGCATCCACAGTTGAAAGATTGCCAAGATTATATGACATAAATAATCAGACATTTAGGAACATGTCAAGGACACATAACCAAGTTCTTTCAAAAAGAAAAGAAGGATGGAACAATTTCCAACTAGTTATATGTAATTAGAATTGCATGATACCAAAATCAGAAAAAGACAACACAGGAAAAGAAAGTAAGAACCAATAGCTTTCACGATCAGAGATAGGAGAACTCTTAACCAAATACCAGCAAGTAAAATACAGCATTTTCAGAAAGGATCATGTCTCACACCCAAAGTTTGGTTTATTTCTAGAAAACAAGGATTCTTTACATATACAAATTTCAATTTCAGTGTAATTCACCCTGTCACCAGACATATGGGGAAAAAACATAGTCATCTCAGTACATATGAAAATTTAGGAGGCTAATGAGGTCACATTCAGTGCCCACTAAGGATAAGAAAGAATAAAAGGGAATGCTCAGTGTGATACAGGGCATCTATAAAGTACAAACAGGAATGTAATGATGAAATATTGAACCTCTATACCCAAGTATTAGAACAATGTAAGTACCTTGCTTGCCATTTCTATTTAACATTGCATAGTGGTGCTAACCAATACAATATGATAAGAAAAGTAAACAGGAGGCTTTAGATTAGAAAGAAAAACAACAACTATAACTGTCTTTACTCACAGACAACATGATTGTATAGGAATAACTTCCAAATGAATCTACAGAGCATCCAGCTATTGAATTAAGATGTCAACTTGGCTAGGTCATAAGCTATAAGACCTAAACTTAAAAATCAACTTCATAGGGTCAGAGATGTGGCTTAGGTTATTGAGCACCAGCCACTTAATGAAAGCATGTGTCAGATACCTGGTTCAAGTCTCAGTTCTTTTTGTCTGAACAAAAAGAAATGAGCCAGGCACTGGAGGCTCATGCCTATAATCCTGGCTACTTAGAAGGCTGAGATCTGAGGATCACAGTTTGAAGCCAGCTCAGGCAGGAAAATCTGTCAGACTCTTATCTCTAATAAAACATAAAAAAAAAAAAAAACAGAAGTGGAGTTGTGGTTCACTGTGGTAGAGCACTTGCCTTGAGTGAAAAAGCTTAGGGATAGTTCCCAGGCCTTGAGTTTAAGCCCCAGGATCAACAAAACAACAACAAAAAAAAAAAAAAAAAAGGAAAGAAAATCAACTAAATGTCTATATCCTACCAGCAAACAAGTATAAAATGAAATAAGTAATACTTGTAGCATAGCAATAAAATAATATCAAATACTTAGGAATCTATTTCACTTCAACCTCACAAGCCTATTACATTGGGAACAACAAAATAGTTCTTTGAGAGTAACGAAGACTTACAAAAATGAAAGGTAACTCATATTTATGAGTTGGAAGAATCAATATTATTATAATGACAGTTCTTCCACAATAACCTATACAAATCTAAATAGGATTATGTGGATTACATGGAAATTGACAACTCTAAACTTAAGTGGAAATGCAAAGGATCTAGAATACATTTCAAAAGCAACATTGAAGGAGAAAACTTTAGAGGACACATTTCCTGATTCCAAGTCTTATTTTAAAACTATAGTCACTAGGACCATGGCTGAGATCAGATTACTAGAAGATTTTTGACATTTTTTGAAAGTCATTGAATGATGCTCAGATTCTTATAAAAGCTAGTTGAGATAAAAGGAAGACCCTGTTTGAGTAGCATCATTGGCTTATAGAATGAAGACAACATCAGTGTTGCAGTTAACAACTGTTTATTTCATTTAAAAGGCAGGGTAGTATAAGGACTATGAGTTAAGCCTTTATAATGAAACTGAGTTCAGATTCTGGTCCTGACACTTTCTAACCACAGAACATTATTTAGCAACTCAGTTTATCCTTGTGTCGTTACTTCTTTTGTGTAAAACAATATTAGGTTGGAGGAACTAAATAAATTACATGCTTATAGTACCTGACATGTAATAAGCTTTCACATACTATTTGCTATTCTGATTTATGTACTTTCCATTGCTATTTGTATTCTTTTCTTCATCCACTTATTAGTTTCAGAGGGTTGAAAAGTGAATAAAACAGTGCCTTTACTTCTTCACACACCCATATCTTCATTCACACTCTTCCTCCTACTTGTATCCTCCAAAGCAATCACCCTTCCTTACCCTGATAATATCTGCTTGCAAAGACCATCCAGGTAACAGCTCCTTCAGGAAGCTGTCCCTGGCTAACCAAGTCAGGCACACCTTTTCTATGCCCGTCCACATCCTCGAGTCCCCTTTATCCATGCGTAGATTAGATGGTTGTGTGGCTTCCTTCCCCTTTCCTTTTGCCTGAAGTAGGCTTTGTGAGGTCAGATGCCATTTCTGATTTTTCTTTGCATGTAAGCCTTTTTCTGATACAAGGTAGCATTCAGTTCTTCCTTGAGAGAATGCATGATTAGCATAAAACATTCCTGTTGCGTAGTTCTGCTTGATAGCATGTTGTGTTAAAATCACAGCCATGCATCTGTTTCTTACTTTGACTTTCAGATTTTCCTTCTTGGAATCGTCCTGCTTCCCCTGCGTGCCTTGATGGTGGCATTCGTCTTATTACTGGCATGGCCATTTGCTGCAGTGGCTACTGCGTGTTGCCCTGAAAAGCTGACCCATCCAATAGCCGACTGGAGGAGGTAAGGGAGGACTGTCTCCAAATGCAAGTTCAAAAATAGTTTATGATGGTTTAGTCAATGATAAGCTTGAGTATCCACCCATTCAGTTTTAATAATTCATTTTTTGACAGATGAAACTGGCTTTAATTTATGTAGAAATAACTGCACATCACATTCGGATTGCCTTCTGTTCTAATCCTTGTTAAACGATTCTGTGGTAGACTGCCTGCTGAGCATGCATGAAGCCCTGGGTTTGATTCCTCACTACCACATGAACAGAAAAAGCTGGAAGTGGCACTGTGGCTCAAGTGGCAGAGTCCTAGCCTTGAGTAAAAGAAGCTCAGGGATAGCATCCAGGCCCTGTGTTTAAACCATAGGACCAGCAAAAAAAAAAAAAAAAAAAAGATTCTGTACTCTTGGGTTGTTGAACAAAAGGAAATGATGGATAGTCCTGAAGGATACTCTGTTAGTATATCTGGAAAGATGGCATCTTCTAAGTTGCTTTTCTTCAACTTTCCTACTTGACTCTTGTATCCCCATAGTAGTATCATGCTTTCTGCAGAGGGTTAATTGTGTGGATTAATTATGTAATTTTTGTTAATTACTTAGTGATTATTATTAACAATGCTTTAGGTATTAATCAGTTTAATTTAGTGTTTTTAAATGTCAGCACTGAAGGGATGGAACTGAGTCTCAAGCATTATCCAGTATGGATGGTTTCAGAGAAAAGACCAAGAATGAACAGAGACTGAGTGTGTGGCTACTCATACCTGTAATACCACTTTATTTAGAACGTAGAGATCAGGAAAATCAGGCCAGCTAGACTGAAAGGCAGTGTGACCCCCATCATAACAAGTAAGTGTGGTACAGCAATGTGCCTGGCTTTCAACTATGCAGGATATATAAGTAGGGAGATGGTGGCTCCCATTTGTCCAGGGCTCCCTCCTCCTGAGCAAAGATACTCTGAGACTTCATATAGAGAAATAACTAAAGCGGATATATCCTTCAAACTTTCTGAGAAACACTGTTCTGGGAAGTTTCTAACACAGCCGGTTCTGATGGCTCACATATGTACTCCTAGCCTCTCTGGAGGCTGAGATCTGATGGTAGCAGTTCAAAGCCAGCCCAGGCTCTAGTCCTGTTTCTAATTACTGCCAAAATGCTGTGATGCAAGTGGTAGAGGGAAAAGCCATGTGAGAGCAGAAGGCCCTGAGTTCAAGCCCTGATACCAGAGACCTCCTCGCCCATGCCAAAAAAGAAAGCTTTAAAAAAAATGTGGGGTTTAATATTTGTTTCATATTTTGATGAGCAAATGTTAGTATGAAACAGAGTTAGCGTGAAAATAGACCATGCTGTCAATGCCCCAGAGAATGCTCAGACCTTGCATGACACAATGCTTTGTTCTAGAACTCAAGGGTGTGTGGTTGAAACCACATTCAAGGGTTGCTTGACTCATTCCTTTATATATAACATGTGTGCAGAATATTCTGTTATTAGGTGCTTATGAAAATTGAAGATGATGAGAGGGATGGCCTAAGGGTGCTGCAAACAAAATAAATTAGAAAAGGACAGTTTCCTTTTGTTTGTGTTTTTATTGTTTTTGTTGCAGAAGAAGAAGTTCTACTTTTGTCAATTAAAGCACTATTCTCGTACATCCCCTCTCAGACAGATGTTGAAGTTAGTATGTGGCACCAGATTTTTTTTTAGCACACGCGCACGCATGTGTGTGTGTGTGTGTGTGTGTTTGTGTGTGTGTGTGTGTGTGTGTGTGTGTGTGCATGCGCACATATGTGTGCTGGTACTGAGGCTTAAAACTTAGGCCCTACAGCATTTACTTGGGATTTTTACTCAAAGCTGGCACTCTACTACTTAAGCCCAGCCCCAAATCCAGCTCTTTTCAGGTTAGTTGGAGATAAGAGTGTCATAGACTTTCCTGCCAGGGCTGGCTTCAAACCATGACCCTCAGCTTTCAGCCTCCCAAGTAGCTAGGATTACAGGTGTGAGCTGTCAGCAGCTGGCTTTTAGCCAGTTTTCTAAACATCTAAAGAGCAATGCTAATGATTCTGAATATGCGGCGGCGTTTTGAAGCAGATGTATAAGAAGCTGCACCCGTGCATCAGGTCTGTAGAACCTTTTTTTCTGTCATGGCCCATTCTGATGTTTATGACATCATCCGTGGGCCTTACAAAATTGTCAGCTCAGGCAGCCAATGAGAAGCATATGTGTCCCATATTGTGTCAAATGATTTCATGGGCCTTTATGTAGCCCACAGCCCAGATGTTCCCCACCCATGTATAGATTTTTAAAAATGAGAAGTGTGGAGATGGGAGTCCTTTGTGTGCCTGCCTGTATGAACAGAGCTCTCAGCTCTAAAGGAAAGGGGAAGAAGGGAGGCGCAAACCTTCCCTCCGGCCACGAGTGTGTGTGCTGAGTCATTTCTACTTCTTGTGAAATTAAAGTCACAGAAACTTCCTCAGAGAATACTTTACTGCATTTTACACCATGGCTAAGACAATGATGAGACCGAAAGCTCATTTAAATCTCTTTAAGTTCTTGTTTATTGTACTGTCTTACGTATATACGTATATATAGAGAGAGAGAGAACGAGAGAGAGAGACAGACAGACACAGAGACAGAGAGACAGAGCAACAGAGAGAGAGAGAGAGAAAGAGAGAGAGAGAGAGAGAGAGTGTGTGTGTGTGTGTGTGTGTGTGTGTGTGTGTGTACCAATCTTGGGGCCTGAACTCTGGGCCTGGGCGCTGTCCCTCAGCTCTTCAGCTCAAGGCTAGCACTCTACCACTTGAGCCACAGCGCCACTTCCGGCTTTTTTCTTTTTTGCTTATGTGGTGCTGAGGAATCGAGCCCAGGGCCTCATGCATGCAAGGCAAGCACTCTACCACTGAGCCATCTTCCCAGCCCTCTGAGCTTCTTTTCACAAGGCTAGTGCTCTACCACTTGAGCACAGCTCCACTTCCAGCTTTTTGGTGGTCCGTTGAAGATAAGAGTCTGGCTGACTTTCCCGTCTGGGCTGGCTTCGAACAGAGGTCTTCAGATCTCAGATTCCTGAGTAGGCATGAACCACCGGCACCTAGCTTCTGAGTTATGGGGTTGGTTGTGACACTTTCATACATTTATATGATACACTTTGATCACAGTCACCTTGGACCTCATATCAGATTCTCTTGTCCCTTCTTCCCCTGCTGATGGAACCCTTTCTCTACCCAAACAACCCCCTTCTACTTTCCTCTCCCTGCCCGCCCCCCCCTCCTCACACACAAACGTCTAGATTTGGCATAGGAGAGAAACCTGAGACATCTGTCCCTTTTAGTCTGTGGAATTCCCCACCTCCATTTTTTTAACTTTATTTTTATTTATTTGGACCTATACTGGGGCTTGAACTCAGGGACTTGAGCTCTTGCTCAGCTTTCTTGCTCACAGCTGGCATGCTATTGCTTAAGCCATGCTCCCAGTCTGGCGTTTTGCTAGTTAATTGGAGATAGAGTTTCTGGGGCTTTTTTCTACCATGTCTTGTTTTAAACCTGGATCTTCAGATCTCTGTCTCCTGAGTTGTTAGGATTACAAGTGTAAGGCTCCGGCACTTGACTGGAAATGTATTTTTAAGTTCTTGTTAGTTACCTGGTGAGTGACACATTCTCAGCCCTCCTTATCTACAGGTTTCACACCCTCAGATTTAACCCACTGTAGACCACAGATACTCAGAAATAAAATGACATCTATACTGAGTATGTACAAGCATTTTCCAATGATACTGTTCTCTAAACAATGCTCACACAGCATTTCATTGGCTTAGCTATCATAAGTAACCTAGAGATGGTTTAACGTTTACGGGAAGAGATATATGGGTTATGTGCAATGTTTCATCATGCTATATAAAGACTTGAGCATCTGAGAGTTGTCTGAACCCCTCAGGCTTCCTGGGACTATTTCCCACACATAGGGAGGGAGGACCACACATACGTCATTTTACTTTTCAGGCAAACTTTGTGTTATTTACTTACTGAGATAACCATTCCACTGGAGGAACGTAAATGTCTCAGAGTGTTTTTCTTGAGCTTATGAAATCAGGAACTTGTCTTACTTGTCTTACATGTCCTGCACAGCTTGATTAATTAATCTGTAGTAGAAGAATCATTTTTTTCTAGGACCAGGTGTTTTTTTTTTTTGGCCAGTTCTGGGGCTTGAACTTTGAGCCTGAACACTGTCCCTGAGCTTCTTTTGCTCAAGGCTAGCACTACACTTGAGCCACAGCATCACTTCCGGCTTTTCCTGTATATGTGGTATGGAGGAATACAACCCAGGACTTCATGCATGCAAGGCAAGCACTCTACCACATTCCCAGCCCTAGGACCAGGTTTTGAACTCAGGGTCCTGAGCTTGTTCTCCTTGCTGGCTTAGCTGGAACTCTAACACTTGAGCCATGCCTCTGGCCCAGCTTTTTGGCTGCTTGTTTTGGAGATGAAGTCTCAAGGACTTTTCTACCTAGGGTGACTTCCAACTACAGTCCTCTGGAGGACTGACGTGAGTCACCAAATGCTAGCATCCTCTCAGTGTGTGTGTGTGTGTGTGTGTGTGCGTGCGTGCGTGTGTGTGTGTGTGTGTGTGTGTGTGTGTGTGTGTGTTTGTGTGTGTTTCATGAAAACCAGGTGGCAGTTTTACTTCTGAAATTTTTGATGATATCTAAGCACTATGACAGTGGAGATAAGATTTAGTTCCAAAATTTGTTCCTAAAATAATCCAGCACCAGGCTTCCCAATGTGGGAAGATGGCAGCACTGTGTTTATGGGCTTGGATGGTCTGAGCATGGGATGCACATTGAAAATTCACCTCTATCATTTTATGGTTCTGAAATCATGTGTCCATTTAGTTGCTATACATTCTTGTGCTCAAGAATTTGCCTTATTTTTTTGTGCCTTGTTTTTCTTATCTGCAAAATGAGAATAATAAGTACTACTTAGTAATTAGAAAACATATGATGATAAGAAGTACTTAATATAAGTACCATGTATCATCATGAGCACTTCATCACATTAGGCTGTCAATTACAAGTTAATAGAGGAGCCAGATGCCAGTGGCTCATCCCTGTAATCCTAACCACTCAGGAGGCTGAGATCTGGAGAATCATGGTTGAGGTTAGCCTGAGCAGAAAACCAACCCTCGATGACTCCATCTCCAATTAACTAACCAAAAGCCATGATGGAGGCATGATTTAAGTGGTAATGTGCCAGGAGAGCAAGTACGAGTTCCTGAGTTCAGACCCTGGTACTGGAAAAAAGATAAACCACATTATTATAGGTAAGCATTTAGAATAGTGCCTGGCTTCAGGAAAATGTTAGCTGTTAGTCTTTTTCCCTCCTATTTTAAGTGACATTCTCTGGCATGTTTGCGTTTCCTCATTGTATTTCAGAGTAAAGCTAGCTAGCTTTAATTCCAGAAGCTAATTATGTCTTTTTCTGTATTTATTTTTGTAGGAAAATTACTCACCCAGCTTTGAAGTTTCTGGGTCGTGCCTTGTTCTTCTCAATGGGATTTCTAGTTACTGTGAAAGGAAAGATTGCCAGTCCTTTGGAAGCACCAATTTTTGTTGTCGCTCCTCATTCAACATTCTTTGACGGAATTGCTTGTGTTGTGGCAGGATTACCTTCCCTGGTGTCTCGCAATGAGAATGCATATACCCCTCTGATTGGCAGTAAGTACTTTCTATGGTCATACTTTCAACTAAAAAAAATATATATAATGCATAATTGACAATATATACCATATAGTATAATAAACATATAACACAATAATATAATAAATATAATTATATACTATCTACTGTACAACACATAATATAAATGTAAAATATAAATACAATATATTTATATATCATATGTAAGTAATATATGAGATAGTTCTTTCAACTAAAAGAAATACTTAATGATATATATTAAATATATGTTATCATATATTATATCTCATATATTACATAAGATTATATTATGTAATAGTTGTATATTATATATGTTTTATTTTATAATACATAATGTTTTATATATAATATTTCATATATTTATATTATACTATATATTGTTATATACAACATAAATACATATTATATAACATATTAATGTATATATTAATGTATTAATATATAGTAATATTTATTAAATTATATAAACATAATAGCATATATGGTAATAATATTATAAAATGTATACTATCATTATGTGTGTGTGTATTGGTGCTAGACCTGAGGCTTGAACACAGGGCCTGCATGCTGCCTCTAAGCTCTGTTGCTCAAGGCTAGCACTCTACCCCTTGGACCACACTCTACTTTTGGCTCTTTTAGTGCTTAATCAGAGATAAGAATCTCATGAACTTTCTTGCCTGGGCTGGCTTCAAAACACAACCCTCAGATCTCAGCCTCCTAGTTAGGATTACAGGCATGAGATACTGTATCCAGCCAAATATAGGTTTTGGTAATCCTTTTTAAAACTATAGAACGTTTAAAATATTATTTCCTTTGATTATAATGAACTACTATATGGAAAGAGTGAGTGGATAGAAAGAAAGAATTTGTAGCAAAAAATAAATCAAGGGCTGGGGATGTGGGTTAGTGGTAGAGTGCTTGCCCAGCATGCATGAAGCCCTGGGTTCAATTCCTCCATACCACATAAGCAGAAAAAGCCAGAAGTGGCACTGTAGCTCAAGTGGCAGAGTGCTAGCCTTGAGCAAAATAAGCTCAGGGACAGTGCCTAAGCCCTGAGTTCAAGCCCCAGGACTAGCAAAATAATAATAATAATAATAATAAATCAAACACTGGCCTTCTCTGTAGCTTTATCATTTTCTCTAAAGCTTACTTGTATCACTAAACTTTCTAACTTGTTCATATTACTTAGAGCTAGGAAGACTACCTGCCATGTCCTAAGCAGGCTTGAGAAAGAATTTAACCAAAGAACTGGCAAAAACAACAAAACAAAACACCCCCCCCCCCAACACTAGGTGCATGCTGTCTTATGAATTTCTCTCCAGAGTATTAAGCTCATATTTTTATCCTGCTTTATGATTATACCCCAAAGCTGCCTGAAGGATCTATATGTCTTTGAAAATTATGATATAGAACAATAGGTAGTTTCTGCCATTGACAACAATGAAGCCAGGGCGATGTTTTTCTACCAGATGCTTTACTCTTTCCCTAAGGGACTCAGTCTCCCAGTAACGGATTCCAGGCTCCCAGATGTCCCAAGGTTATTATGATGGGAGTGATGGGAGAGTGGTGGTAAAAGTTTCTCAATGTCATCTGGTGGCTCTGGAGAGATAATAAGGCAGATAATCATCTCTGGAGAGATCATGCAGCCTTGTCATTCTCCTAAGACAGATCTTTATCTTCAGTGTGTAATTCCATTGCTTTGTGCAATGAGACTTTTATTCTGAAAAATTGTGGGAAAGCCACAGATCTTTGGTAAATTGAGGTTGATCTTGCATGTCCCAGGAAGCTGTTTAGAAGACTGTTGTTGTGCTGAAAATTGCAGTAAAATATATAGTGATTGTCTCTTACTAATGTGTACCATGAATTCATTTCCCCAATTTTTCACGTCTTCTTAAAATCAAACAAGAAAATCTCATCACATATTCCAAAGTGCCATGTCAGTTGAGGGAGAACTACAGGAACCGCTTTCCATATTCTTGTTGCTTATGATGGTTAAATAAATGAAATAATTTTAGGTATACATATCCACCTTTTCTTTTAAAATTAGAATCTAAATGCTGGTAAACTTTGAGTTGGAATGGTTTTTTTTTGCTTGTTATCTTTAATTTACTATCACTTTGATGTTTCATAAAAAGTTTGTTTTATAATTTGTAATTTATCTGGTGTTATTGCCATGGTGGCTTTAGCCAAAACATGACTCACTGGATTGTGATTTTGTGTTTATTTAAAGGACTGTTACGGGCTGTGCAGCCAGTGTTGGTGTCCCGTGTAGATCCCGATTCTCGAAAAAACACAATCAATGAGATAATAAAGCGAGCCACATCAGGAGGGGAATGGCCCCAGGTAAAATTCAGCAGCTGTTGGTTGACTTCTGTTGGCAGTGTCTTGTACCTCTGTGGACTTGCTCATTTGGATCCACAGATATTTCCTGCACTAGGCATCTTTAGCATAATGGATGCAGGATGTGGGACGCGGGATGAACTGGGGAATAGTAGGAAGTTCTTGGCAGGAGCTGGTGATTCATACCTGTAATCCTAGTTAATCAGGAGGCTGAGGTCCGAGGATCATGGTTCAAAGCCAGTCTGGGCAGAAAAGTCTCTGACACTTCCTTATTTCCAATTAATTACCAAAAAAGCCAGAAGTAGAATTATGGCTCAAGTGGTAGAGTGCTAGCTTTAAGCAAAAGAAGCTCAGGGACAGTGCCCAGGACCTAAGTTCAAGCCCCATTACTGGGACATACACACACAAATTAAAAAAAAGAAAGAAATTTTCTTTCCCACACGATATTCCCATGGGCTGAAATGTGTCATTCTTTTTTTTTTTATTCATCAGACTCTTCAAGGCAAATTTTACTTTCTGCTATAAAAAGGGATTCTCCATCTTTGACTTTAATTATCATTAGATAATATGAATATCTCATGTACTATAGTGTAGGAGATAGTAGAACTCAATTGCATTTAACAAAGTACAGTTTCTGTACTTTGGTGGCTCATGCCTATAATCCTAGCTACTCAGGAGCCTGAGATCTGAGGATCACAATTCAAAACCAGCCCAGGCAGGAAAGTCCATGAGAGTCTTATCTCTAATTAACCACCAGAAAACCAGTAGTGGCACTGTGGCTCAAGTAGTAGAGCACTCGCCTTGAGCTGAAGAGCTCAGGGACAGCAGCCAGGCCCAGTGTTCAACGCCCAGCACTGGACCAAAAAATAAAAATAAAAAGTACAGTCTCTGGAGGAGATGCATGTAGACAGTGCTTTGCAGTCCAGGGAGCATATCACAGTCATCTGCAACTTTTGTCATGGTTTGCTATTTTACTACCTGCTTGCCCAGAATGTCTCCTCTGGGTAAGGCAGGGCAATGTTTACTACCCAGCAAGCCAGGCTGATTCTAACAAGCATCCTTCTCTTTGCTCAGATGAAGACACGAGATCTATTGTAGATTAAGAGTCCCATTGTGGTCTGGGAGCCTAGGATGACATGTAGATGCCACAGTACCAAGAATTGGAGGACCAGAAGGTTTTAGAAATGGTGACGTGTGAGCAATGATTTCATAAATGATTGTGATAAGGTGGCATTTGCTACAACAGTTTGGTTTTTCTCTTTGGATCCAAGACATAGATCTAGGATTACTAGATGAGACGTATCAAGTAGGTTGATTTCCATTTACTTTGCTGAGCTTGTGAGGGAACTTTCCCTTTGTCCAGAAGTAGAACGATTTGGAATCCTCAGGATATTCAGACATTGACTGTGCAATCCCCCTTGGGGGAGAATTGTTGAAAGAATTATTGGCAGGATGCTTCTAATTTCCCTCGGAGATGTCAGACTTTACTCTCTACTCAGTCCTATAATGTAGTAATATAGATGTTGGATTTCCACTAAGTACAACAGGTTAGTTATTGTATATGAATGTTCCAGGCGACCCATTTTTTTAAAATTGGAAGATGCATCTGGGTGCAGGTGCTCATGCCTGTAATCCTAGTTACTCAGGAGGCTGAGGTCTGAGGATCACAGTTCAAAGCCAGCCCGGGCAGGAAAGTCTGTGCGATTCTTATCTCCAATTAACCACCAAAAAACCAGAATGATAGAGTGCTAGCCTTTAGCTGAAGAGCTGAGGGGCAGTGCCCAGGGCCAGAGTTCAAGCCTCACAACCAACAAGAACAAAAAATTGGAAGATGCAATTCACAATACAAATAAACTGATTATAGTCATTTCACCCAATAATATTTCCCCTCTTATTTATTGTGAAATACACATTGCTTACTGCCGTAACTGCAGGGACTTCCTTTTATGTTCTTAGCAATTTACTTGTGACTAACTTTTTTTAAAAGCTTCAGAAGCTGAAAGGTTGCTATCTTACTTAGATAATGGGGAAACTAGCCATAGCGTGTATCTTTCACAAGGAATGCATTCAAAGCAGCTACACTTTCTCGTACAAAACAAAACAGACCCAATATATTCAGTTGTGCTCTGCGTGCGAGTTCAGGAAGTGCACAGCGTTGGTCCTATGGTGTCTCTTATCTCTGCTGTGGGAGAAGTTGGCATTTCACAGGAAATCTGCAGCAACATAAGAGATTATCAGAGCACTGATATATACATAGTGTACATGGTGTGCGTGCCTGGACCATGATTTATACTTTTCTGTGTCTTCTTTAGTAAAAACAGATCATTAGCAAAAACATCATTATGAAAAAATTTAGAATCTTTTATCAATAAAGTATATTGTTGGTTCAAAGTTTAAACCTATTTTCTCATTGTCTTAATGGTCCAATTATGCTTCTCTTAGAGAATAGAATAATCAGCCATTAGAATCCAATGTCAACTCATTATATCATTTTGGTTTTTAAAGTAGCTGTCTGTGAAGTCATAGAAAGTGTGTAAGGAAGTCATCTATTAATTAGACTGAACTATTAAATCTATTCCTTTTCTCCCAAGATACTAGTTTTCCCAGAAGGAACTTGTACTAATCGGTCCTGTTTGATTACTTTTAAACCAGGTGAGATGAATTAAATTATGTACTGTAACGAAGTAATGTGAAAGAGTTCTCCAATACTTTGGATGAAAAACACAAAATAACAAACACAAAATGTAACACAGAAATAACACAAAATAACTAGAGTTTGCTCTGAGCCTTTCTTCCTGATGAAACATTTTTGACATTTTGATCCCACAGAACTTTCTCCTTTGCTTTCTGTTTTAGTATAATAACTCCTTTGTAAAGTCTTTCCCCTCCTCTTTTCCTTCCCTCCCTACTTTTCCTCTCCTTGAAATCTTAATTCATTATCCTTCTTTTTAAAACTTTTTTTTTATTGTTTTCTTATCTTTAAATAATAGTACAAAGGGGTTTCAACTCAACATGTCAGTTTGTAAGTCCAACACATCTTGATCAGTGTTACCCTTAGCATTCTCCACCCCCTGAAGTTACTTGTTTCCATTTTCACATATGTGCATTGCATATGATGACTAATGACTGCATTCACTCACCCTCCCTTCCGTTATTCTCTGTCCTCTCCCCTTAACCTCACACCCGCCATGTTCCAGCTTCCCGGTATTCATTTTGTTAAACTGGAAGTTAATTGTTCAAAGGAGTTGCACCATTGGAATCTGTTGTTGCATTCCTGGGCTCACTCCCTTTTGCATAGTGGGAAGACCGCAAGACCCGAATGCCGCTTTCCTGCACACACTAAGGGTTTTTCTATGGGCTGCCTGAGTCCTCAGGGTCTGAGTTATGTCTCACTTCTGCCAGTGTAGCAGTTTTGCTTTGAGTAATTGGTCTCATCCAGATACTCTTATTTTCTCTTTGCATTGATTTTTGTCACTACTTAAAAAATCTTGTTGAATAATTTGGGACGTGAACGCAAGCGAATAAATAAATAAATGCTTATGTGGCTTAGTCTCAGCATTTAATATTTTGCTTAAATCTTAATTTAAGAGTCCTCACTTGGGTAAACACTTTAGCCAATAGTTTATGATATGTGGACTGTTAAACTATTAGTGACTTTATACTATTGTAATGAATGTTTATGTGACTCTTGGTTTTATGCACATGCAAACGACACTGTGAAATGTCACTGTGGTTCTAGGAGCCTTCATTCCAGGAGTTCCGGTGCAGCCCATCCTCCTCAGATACCCCAACACATTGGTGAGCAAAATTTTACCATGGGGAGAACTTCACCATTCTAAGTGGCACACATTCTTTAAGGAGCCCTTTTAACATTTGAAGAAGGGAATGAATAGAAAAGTGCTGGAAACAATTTGGGCAGATTCATTCTACTTGCTGTCTAGTGTCCAGAATGTTTTCAAATAAAGCTATCTATGCTGGAGTCTCGTGCCTGTAATCTTAGCTATTCAGGAGGCTGAGATCTGTAGGACTGAAGTTGGAATTTAGCTGGAGCAGAAAAGTTTGAGAAACTCCATGTCCAATTAACCAGTAATGAGTGAAGCTGGCTTACGTTGTAGAATGCCAGTCTAGCAAATTGTGTGAGAGAAGGAAGCCCTGAGCTCCAATACAGATACCAGAAAATAAAAATGAGATTCTTGGTCAGTTCTTACTTCTAGTCAGTGGATGTAGATGCTTTGGAAATGAATAAAATCTGTCAGACTTTTATTTATATCTTTATTTGTAGGTTTGAATTTATTAAATATGCAACTTGATTTTTTCCAACCTCTTTTTTTTGAGAATTGATGAATTCTGTTTTTGTTTATTCGTTTGTTTTTGTTGCTGTTGGGGCATTGGGATTTGATTTCAGGACTTTGTGCTTGATAGGAGACACTTTGCTACTTAAACCGTGCCCGCAGTCCTTTTTGCCTCTGTTATTTTTCTTTTTGCCTGGAGCCAGCCTGAACCTCCATCCTCCCGTTTATGCTTCTGATGTAGCAGGGATGACAGAAGCATACTAATGTGCCCAGTTGTTTCTTAGTTGAAACAGGTATCTTACAAACTTGCCCAGGCTGGCATGAATCTAGATCCTTTTCTCCTAAATAGCTAGGATTATAAGCATGAACTACCATGCCCAGCTCTGTTTTATTTTTATTAAATCATTTTTGTGACACTAGGGATTGAACTCAGAGCCCTTACCATTTGACCCACATGACTGGTTCCTTTGGGTTTATTTTGTTTTTTAGTAAGAGGTGGTCTTAAAATTGATTTGTCTCTGCTTTCTTATTCGCTGGATTACAGTTGTGAGCCACCTAACCCAGCCCTTAACTGTTTTTGTTTCTGTTTTTATTTTTATAAGCAAATTAGTCTTCTAGACATGAAAATCACTGAGCATATACAATAGTTTCCTTAAACGTTTAGAACAAGTTTTTCCATAAAAAGATAATGATATAGAAAAATAAATCTTTGCTGTGCAGATAATTCAGGAATCTGTAGATCAGTTCACTGTACCTGAATAATAATATGTGCATTTTACTTTTCAATGTGCTCTGAATCCTAGTACTAAGATAAGAATATTGTTGCATGGGTTATTTTCCTGCTAACAGCTTATGTCCTTTGGTTGTTGTAGGACACAGTGACCTGGACATGGCAAGGATTTACATTGTAAGTTACTTGTTTATAGTCTTAGTCCATGTGCATTTTATTTTAATAAAGGACCCAAAGACCATTTATTCCTTAGTAATGTTACCTAGTCAGAGTCTTACATCTTCTAACTTATATCTCTACATACATCTTTACTCTCTTGTCCTTGAACCCCTGGTGTCTCCCAGTCAATTGGCACATTGGATGGGTCTTAGACAAGTCTGCATCATACTCAACTTGAATTTCGCACTTCCATTTCTGATTAGCTGATGTTTCCATCCTGAAATAATGGGATGAGTCTGACATGTGTTGAGAAAATGACGGACTGCGCGATTTCGGTTCTGCTCTTGGATTTTCAAAGTGCAGTAATTAGCAGTTTCTATATACACAGCAGAGAGGAGGAAGAAAAATGGTTTCACTATTGAACAAGCCAAAGTGAAATCCACCCTTGAAAAGAACAGAAAGTGGAGAATCTGCCCTTCAAGATCTTTTACATAGTTTCCCCCGTGGGGAGAAAAATTAAACCTTTGTCAGTTTTGGGAGAATCACTTAAAGGGTGGATTAGAGGCCTTTCCCCGGGTCCTGTCCAGTTCTGATACTGTTAAAGACAGAGCTCAGACATGGGTGATCTCTGAGAAGCAGAAGGAAGTCGTGAGTTTCAAACACAATTCCTTCTTTGGATATCTTTCACCCAATTGAACAAAATACTGACAATCAGAGAACAAAAAACAAAAGTATTACCTAGCTTCTTCTCATGAATGTGTATATACACATTTGAAATGTTACATTGAAATCAGAATAGGTAGCTTAAGAGTGAGTGGAATGGAAAGTTAACACATGTGAAAAACACTTGTGTTTCTCTTGTGCTGTGGTCTTTGGTAGTTGAGGTAAAGCGAACAATGCAACAAATAAAGAACAAATTGAAAATGATATGTAGATAGTGTATTATCTTTAATTCTCTAAGATACCACCTTTTTAATTTGACTCTAATATAGACTTCCTATCACTACTGATTGTGAATTCCTAGTTTTTGACTTTTATATAAGAAAAGTAGTGGGGAGAATGAGTAGAACAGGTTATTTTAGAAACAGCAGTGCCTGAACATTTGGGGTTACATATTTATATTTCCAAATATATTTATATTTCTGGGCCCACCCTTCTAGCACCATGGAGTAGTAGTGAATTTCAGATAGAATACTTGAAAATTACTACATAATAGGTCATAATTAGAAGTACTAAATTTACTTCCTTAATTCATTCTTCTAGCTCAATTTCTTGTTTAAACTCCTAACTTCCTTAAGAGTCCCTTCAGATAACATTTTTGTGTGTGACAGTACTGGGTCTTGAATTCAGGACATGGTTACTCAAAGTCCCTGGGCTGTTTGCTTAAGTCTAATACTGTACCACTTGAGCCACAGCCATTTCTGGCTTTTTGGTAGTTGATTATAGATAAGAGTCTCATAGACTTTTCTGACTGGGCTGGCTTTGAACTGGGATCTTCAGATCTCAGCCTTCTGAGTTGCTAAGATTACAGGCGCCTGGCCCAGAAATATTTTTTTATAGGCAAATTATATTTTGATTTCTAAGCAGCAAAAAGAGATTGCATGGTTGTTTTGTTAAACATACAGACTAATCTAGTCTGCTTGAGTTTTGGGTCAATTGTCTAATTAGATTGAACTGAAAAATCTTGCAACAATCCTACCCAGGGTCTGTAAATATATGCTAGAGAACTGCAAAGAGAAGAACTATTTTAAAAACGATCTTTTCAAGGGCTGGCTAACAACTTTAAAGAAAGACCTTTGGTCCAGCTTTACAATGAAATTAGCAATTTTCAAAATATTTCTCCATAAGGAAAATATTTATTAGTACGAGACCATTTTGATTCAGTTCCGTCTTTTAAGGAAAGGCTCCTTGATATTTTACCATTATTATTCCTAGAAGGTTTAGAAGTGTAGGATTGTTCTCAGTAATTTTCCTTTAAACACATTGATGAACCTTAGAACAGTTTGGGGGAAGTTTCTCTGAGGCCACTGGCTTGAAGATCTAAGTTGTCAAGGAAACTTGAAACTTGGGGATGAGTCTATCAAGCTGTGGCTCTGACTCATGAGCACAATATAGCAAGGACTTCTCTGGTGCCCTCGATGATGTAATTTTTGAATTGCAAGAATTGTGTGAGCCAAAGAAGCATTCCAGCTTCAGTGTGGTGTTTATAAATGGGAAGTGTTGATGGGAAGTGCTGGGCACCCATGTGGAGAGGGCAGCAGTGGGTGACCTTGTGTTCCTGTGTAAGAAGTCCTCCTCTTTCTTTTCTCAGCCTCCAGCTCTGTGTGCTTACTTTCTGCCAGCCCTTCACAAAGGTAGAAGTGGAGGTAAGTCAGTCCATGCAGTCTTGGAACTGCCATAGGGCTTTATTTAGAACATTCTGTGGTCCAGCTGCATGACAACTGAAGGACATTTGCTACTTGGCTACCACAACTGCCAACACCTCTCCTTTTCATCTCATGGGATTCCTTCCCTTCCCTTCCCTTCCCTTCTTCTCCTTCTTCCTATTTATTTATTTACAAGTTTGTTTGTTTATTAGGGCTTGAACTCAGGGCCTGGGCACTATCCATGAGCTTATTTTATCAAGATTAGTTGTCTTCCATTTGAGCCACAGCTCAGCTTCTGACTTTTGGGTGGTTAATTGGAGATAAGATTCTCACAGACTTTCCTGCCCAGGCTGGTGTCAAATCTCGATCCTCAGATCTCAGTGTCTTGAGCAGCTAGGCTAATAGCTGTGAGCTACTGGTGCCCAACCCTTCCTTTTATTTTTAAGCTTACAATCCTTGCATTTTTCCAGCTGATTCTGAGATCTGTTTGAGTAGTACTTTCTGGCAAAGACAAGAATGTATTCTTTGTTCCTTAATCTCACAAACAAAATGACTTTCAGCTGGTTGGAAATAGTTGCATCCATCAGGATTTGATTGTTAGGTTTGTGGTTCAGGGCAGGAAGATGGAAATAGAGGGGCTTTTCATTCAGAATGCTTATTTTAATTATATGCATTTTAAATCTGTGGTGTTGTCTTTCTCTTGTGCAAATCCTAACAATGTTATTGCATTTTATTTAATTTTGTTTTTGTAGTATTGGGGATTGAACCCAGGGTCTCATGTGCGGGGCAAGCACTCTACACTGAGATACATCCTTAGCCCTTTTTATTTTGAGACAAGGACTTTCTAAATTGCCCAAACTGACTTCTAACGTGCAATGCTCTTTCTTCTGCCTCCAAAATAGCTGAAATTACAAATGTGTGCCACATCAGCTCTTAACTGCTTTATTAATTGAATAGTTTAATTCTCTACCATTGGAATGTAACTGAAAAAATGAATTTCAGCAGTTCTTCAGGCACTATCCACACTGTGGCTCAGAAAAGCAGGGCCTTGATCTGAGATTCTCCTCTTTTCTCTTATACTATAACATTGATGGAAATCAGGGCTGGGAATGTGGCTTGGTGGTAGTGTGCTTGCGTAGCATGCATGAAGCCCTGGGTTCAAATCCCCAGTACCACATAAACAGAAAAAGTCAGAAGTGCCGCTATGGCTCAAGTGGTAGAGCAAAAGAAGCTCAGGGACAGTGCCCAGGCACTGAGTTCAAGCCCCAGGACTGGCAAAAAAAATTAATAAATTGATGGAAATCATTGTTACTATTGTAAACAAAATTTTTGAATTCTTTTTGGTAGTACTATGCTTCATGCTTACTAGGCAAGCCCTGTACCCATGAGCTGCATACCCTTAGTCCCAAACTTCTTGACTATTGGTCAAATTTAGTTCAAGATGCATTATTCAATACTGGGTGCTAGTGGTTCATGCCTCTAATCATGCCTACTCAGGATACTGGGAGGAGAGGAGCCAGAGTAAGAAAGACCATGAGACTCTTACCTCCAGTTAACCAGCAAAAAGCCAGTTGTGGAGCTGTGACTAAGGTGATAAAATGCTAGCCTTGAGCAAAAGCTAAGGGACAATACCCAGGCCCCGAATTTAAGCCCCAGGATTGGCACACACACACACTCACACACACACACACACAAAGATGACTTGCTCACGAATGTGGTATTAGGTATAGCTTTTAAGATGATCTTTACTTGGATTGTCTTTAGACACTCAGTTTTGGGAGTCATCAGACAGCTTAGTACTGTAACTGCTTTAGCTTAGAATTTTACATCTCTCAGATACGATGGAAATGAAACTCCTTCATACCAAAACCCTTATCAGACATCTAGAGTGTATAAATAATGCTTAGTGGTATTTTCTTGCTGCCTTTTCTCCATTCAACTCCTGCCTCCCCACCATAGAGACTTGTTTTGAAAAAGTTGCCATTTTCATGACACTTGGATTTAAAAAGAATGTAAGTTGTAAACTTCCTGCACAATGCAATTGGACTCTGGCATCTTTGAGTAAGGATGGATTTGAGCAACAAGTATGTTGACAGGGTAGCTCTGCTGAAAATTATTCCTTAATCATTACATAGCATCATGGTATGTTTCTAACATGCTGCTTAATGATTACATTTATCAATTTGCCATTCCTACATGTGCCTTTATAAACACATACCTCAGGAGCACAGGGAATAAGGTAGCTAGTAAGGTGGGACCAGTAGCTCATGCCTGTCATTTTAGCTACTCAGGAGGCTGAGACCTGAAGGATCATGGTTCAAAGTCAGCCCAGGCAGAAAAGTCCAAGAGGCTCCAAAACAACCAGCAAAATATTGGTGCTGGAAGTGAGGCTTAACTGATAGAGTGCCAGCCATGCAAGCAAACCTAACAAGCACAAGGCCCTGAGTTTAAACTCTTGCACTAGACAAACAAACAAACAAACAACCTCCTCAGCCTGAGCCTTGAGTTTAAACTGTGGCACTAGCCAAACAAACAAACAAACATCCCCAGCCTGAAAAACAAGAATCAAATATGACATATTCAGAATATGCTAGTTTATTTCATGACAGTGAGTGCTCAATCAAACAAATACCACCATGTGGCAGCAGTTAGTTTATGAATGGAAACATGACCTTCACATTGACCTTGAGGCCAGCTTTCTTCTTCACAGTGTGTATACATACCAGCATGCTTTCAGAGCATGTTGACTTTAGAATCTATACCTTGTAGGTATATATTGCTTCAGAAAAATTCCTTTACAACACTTATAGTAATCTGTTAGTGGCTGGGATTATAACTTAAGTACTTTTAAGGTGGGCAGTTCACAGCCTTCAGCAGTTCAAGTGGGTTTTCTTGATTTGAAAAGAATATCTGGTTTGGGAAAGGAAGGACTGTGGCAACAATGTTAGAATCAACATCCAGACATCCATACCACTCTTTAAGTCTTCAAAGAGCCTTTGGCTTAGGCAAGGCTAAATACAGTCATGCGTTGCCTAACCACAGGGATGTGTTCAGAGAAAGTTAGGCAATTTTACCCTTATGCAAACAATGTAATGTGTGCTTACCCAAACCGAGATGGTCTAGCCTATCACATACCTTGGCTGTATGGCAAAGCCTATGGCTGCTGGCCTATAGACCTGAGATGGTCTAGCCTGTGGCTTCCCTCAGCTGCATGGCAGAGCCTATGGCTGCTGGCCTATAGACCTGAGATGGTCTAGCCTGTGGCATACCTCAGCTGCATGGCAGTTTGCAGGCTGCCATATAGTAAGTGGGAAGGAGCCTGAAGGCCTCGGGCCTGAGTGGCTGTCATGGTCACTCTGCACTTAGACTATATTGAAATTATAAAGAAGATTTTTATTTCTTTAAGAATACATTGTTAGTTACTTAAAGAAAACTTTACAGAGGTGAGGACTGTGAACCCCAAAGCATGAATTAGGTGCTCGTTGACAGATGTGTCAGCCTTCTCTCCCTGGGACAGTCTGGCAGAGTAGAATATGGCCGTGAGGGGATGAGAGCATGTGTGTTGGGTGAATAGGATCTGTGAGCTCAGTCTCAGATGCAGAGGGAAAGGGAACAAAAGCCCCATAGCTGCCCTCTCTCTGAAGTTGAAAGTGATGTACATGCCAGCAGGCCAGGCAGAGTGAGGTAAAAAAAGGAATTGCATCTTGGAAGCGTGGAGCAGGTGTAACTTCCTTTAGCATCGCTCTGTGGTCTCTCCCAGGAGGAGAAGGCAGGATCAGATGAGATCTGCTCTCAATCCAAGGGGATTGAGAGTAGCTACTGTGAATGTGGCAGAGGTAAGAGATTGTAGGCAACAGAAAGGCCAAATGATATGCCTGCCTCCTGTCTGAGCTATTTGGACAGGCAGAGGGCCATAGGCTGTTCCTATGTCATAAGCCTGTGCCAGAGCAAGTGAGGGAGAGTTAAGCCCTAATTCGTAATGACAGGAACTGAAGAATCCAGAGGATGACATTAGGGTCATGTGTTGGGTACCATGGCTGAGGTGGTGTTGAAGACAATGTCTGTGGCCAGGTGAAGGGCCTGGGGAATCAAGATAGCACTTGGGTTATTGCTAGGAGAACAGAGGATGATGGGAGATGGTGGAGGTGAAAGAAAACAGAAAGTCCCTAGAGCATTTCAATGTGTGTTGGGGCTATTACAATAATAACAGTCATGCATTCCTCCCTTTGCTTGATTTTCCTTTCCAAGTAGAAGATGTGCTCCTGCTAGGAGCTCAAATGATGGGCAAGGTGGCAATGAGGTGTCTAGGCCAGTCTTACCTAGGAGAGTCTTGATTAGAACTTACATTATGTTGCTTCTCCAGGAGGCAGGGGGTCGCTGAGGCCCGACAGTGTTGAGTCCTGGGCTCTTACTATTTTGTACTCTCAGTGCAGTTTATTTCCTCAAGAATACAATGCCAGTCTAATCCCAGAGTGATGGAAAGGCAATATTTCCTGCACAAATAGAAACCAAGCCCATCCATATTTCATTGTGCTGTGTTTGGTTGACACTGTAGTAATAGTTTGTTTCCCCACATGTACTTTTATGACTTATAAAACTATAAATGGCCATTTGGCTTTAACACACACACACACACACACACATACACACAGAGAAATATTTGGCAATTTAAAAGCTTTTCTTTCTTAAAACATTTCTCTTAGAGATCTCCTCAACACTGATTTCAGCCTCATGTTTTCTTCCTTGAATTTCAAACTATGTAAATATAGGAAATATATTTACTACATTAGGATGCAGGGAATTTTTAGCAGTACTTGTTTACCGTGCATTGCTCGGGATTTTAAAGTCACATGGGGACCCCTGGTGGTGGTTTCTTCTCCACCTTGAGGATAGTGATGCTAAATGCATCCAATGGAAAAGGGCCTTTGCCCTGTTGAGTGGAAGGTTCCTAGGGGCAAGATGACTTTTGGGACCTTACAGCAGAGCCAGGACCCAGTGCTCTTCCCACTGTCCCCTTGGAGAAGTTAATAAAATGAACGTGAATTGTGAAAGCACATGAAATGCCTCCTGCGTCCCAGCTGGGCTGTACACCCTCACCTCTCCTGGCCCACCTCTTGGGGTCTGGCATGGAGCCATTGCAGGAGTCCCTAGGTCTGCTTCCTGCATAGTCTCATCCACACCCTGCCACTCAAGTTACTGCCAAAACCTGGGGCCTGCTCTTATCTCCTTTGCTTCAGCTTCATCTCTGAGTCACCTGTACCCTTGAATAACAAGATTTAGAAACAAGTCTGTTTGGAGCATGTGAGATTTTTATTTCCTTACACAGACTTTTCTTTTTCTTTCAAATCATAACTGCTGTGTAAGTGTGGCTTTGGCCATAGTTTAACTTCTTTCTGCCCATTCTTTGTCTAGCAGATGGACATGGTAGAACGTGCATTAGGGAGGTGTTGAGAGCTAATCATATAAAGCCCCAGATCGTGGGTACCAGCTCTTCCTGCTGAATGTTTCTCACTGTGGGACACACTTCTTCTGTGTGGAGGGCTTCCTGTGCATGCATTCTCTGCCATATCCCCAAGATCTGAACTCTGACATGTGACAGATGTGTGTTTAAGCAATATGTGTTGAATAGAATTAATTGGGCCATGATACCTTGAACATCATATAACTTTTCTCCCTCCCTCCCTCCCTCCCTCTCTTCCTTCCTTCTTTCTTTCCTTCCTTCCTTTCTTCCTTCTTTCCTTCCTTCCTTCTTTTCTTGTTAGTTTGAGCTTAACAGTTGTAAAGCAGGCATTTTACCAAAACTTGAATCACACCCCAGCCCCTCTTTTTACTTCATTATTTTGTGAATAAGGCTCATTCTTTTTCCTGGGACTGACTTCACACCTCAATCTTCTTACCTGTGTCTGTCTCCCACAAAGTTGAGATTACAGACATGAGCCATTTATGCTTATTTTGTTGAGATAGGGTTTTGCTAACTTTGTGCCTAAGTTGGTTTTGTACCAACTTCTCCCAGTATTTACTTCTTGGGCAATCGAGGTTACAAGCATGCACCTCCATGATGACCATTTTAATCCTAATTCTTGATGATTAAAAACAGAAAAACTTAATTAAGTGAAATGATGCTCATAAAACCAGCATGGCACCTGGTACACACTTAGAATTCAATAAGCAGTAACTATTAGCAAAATTGCACTCCTCTAAAAGTCTTTAGTTACATACAAACATTTCTTAGGGCATCCTCTGCAAGAATTAGCTGTTATGACTGTCCTTTTCTCTAGGTACCACCTCCTGCTTTGGCAGTATCTTGTAGTAGGCGGTGGGGTAAGGAGGACGGGGGGAAGATAGTCTGGACAGCAATCCTCCTATTTATGTTTCCTTCATAGCTGGGATGGCATGCAAACCACAACACCCAGCTTTTTCTATTGAAGTGGAGTCTCATGAACTTTTTTTTAAAACCCAGATTGGCCTGGAATTACAGACCTCCCGACCTCAGCCTTCTGCATAGCTGAGCTGACAGACTGGGAAGCTGACTTAAAAAAAAAAAAAAGAGGAAAGAAAAATGAGGAAGAATGATTAAAACATAAAGTCCAATCAAATAGTAAAAATATGGTTGACATTGAAATGGATAGAGAAAGATAATACTATAAAATACAAAAAAGGAGAAAAGAAAAAAACATTTTTTATATAAGGGATATGAAAGGGGGAAATGCAGGTGTGAGAGAAAGGCATTAGTAGCTACAGCTTTGCAACCTCAGAATTGCAGACCTTAGGGGCTGGGAAGGTGGCTCAGTGGTAGAGCGCTTGCCTTGCATGCTCGAGGCCCTGGGTTCGATTCCTTAGCACCACATAAGCAAAAAGAAAAAAGCCGGAAGTGGTGCTGTGGCTCAAGTGGTAGAGCACTAGCCTTGAGCTGAAGAGCTGAGGGACAGCACCCAGGCCCAGAGTTCAGGCCCCACTACCGGACCCCCCAAAAAAAAAAAAAAAGAATTGCAGACCTTAGCTTGTTGATGTAACTCACAACAAACAGGACAAGCAACAGGGACCCTTGTTCAGAGTCGAGGAGCCTAAGAAGATCTTATAATAGAGTTAGCACACAGGCAGACCCAGGGCCTGCATGCAGATCTCCTGAGTCCATGGCTAGATCTCTTTCTATTCTGTTTAGTCACCTGTACTCAAAGATGACAAAGTACTCTGCAGATTGATTGACCGTCTATACACTGATGTCTTGGGCTGGAGGGCTGTTATAGAAAGGTGCATTTGTCTTTCAGTTTATGCCTGTTCAAGTACCAAACGATGAAGAGAAAAAAGATCCTGTGCTTTTTGCCAGTAGAGTCCGGAGTTTAATGGCAGAGTAAGTGTCTGTACATCATTATAACTAGTAAGTAACTGGAAAATCATTGGTAAAAAGTAGCTTAACCTTGCTTAAAGGCTTCTCTCCTCCTTTTCCTAAGTGTCTCCTTCCCCAACTTATTTGGGTAAGTAAAATAGGGACGCTGCCAATAAAATCACCTAAAATGCTCTCCCAAATGCAGCCCCAAACCAATGGAAATATGCCTTGCTCAGAAAGATGGGGTCCAGAGTTGTAGGCAGAAGAGATCATTTGTAGGCTCCAGGCTGGCCTGGAACTGTGGGACACAGCTGTGTGAAGCTCTTAGGGCCTCCTTTCTCTCCCTTCAGCTTCCAAAACGGTCCAAGTTTGCAGGGGACAGATACACAGAAAAGGGAAACAGCTTCCCAAGGCAGGAATGTCTAGAACGTTAGTATTCAGAAACTGAAAAACGTAAGTTTAACATTTTCCTGCACTTAAAGGAGTTTTAACTGGCCAATATCCTAATCAGAGAAATGCTATACATCATGCCAGTCCCCAGACAGCCTTCTGTCTGCCAGATGTTGGGTGTACCCTCCCCACCCTACTCCAAGCCTGCTTCTCCTTGTCGCCCCCTGCAGGAGCTCTGGAGCCAACAGGCTTTTAGCGTTTTCTTCTCAGTGAAAATTCAGCAGGAACCCTGAATTCAGCAAGAACTTCATAGCTTCAGAGCTTTACTTGGCCAAGGAGAATCTTAGTTGCTACACAGACCCCTCCAAAGTTCCTTCTTGTCTTGGAATTATAAACGATTGCTTTGCCTCTTACGTTTTTTGGTATTGTTGTTTTTGTTGGTGGTGGTCATTGGGCCTGAACTCAGGGCCTGGGTACCCTCCCTGAGGTTTGTTGTTTGTTTCTTTTTCTTTTTCTTTCTTTCTATTTCTTCCTTTCTTTTTTCTTTCTTTCTTTTTCTTTTTTCTTTTTTTTTGCTTAAGTCCTAGCACTCTACCACTTAGAGTCACAGCTCTACTTCCAGTTTTCTGGTGGTTAATTGGAAATAAGAGTCTCACCGACTTTCCTGCCCAACCTGGCTTTAAACTGTGACCCTCAGACCTCAACCTCTTGAGTAGCTAGGATTACAAGTGTGAGCCACCAGTGCCTGGCCTCTCATGGTTTTAATTATTATGAGGCTAAAATAGGAACATATGAGATAAAAGTAGTTGAAAATGATGAAGAGCCCAGCAGAAGTGAGGAGCTGGTGGTGGTACTACTACTTGCAGCTATTTCCTGAGTAGCATGCTTGGCTCTTTACTTACACCAGCCAGCATCCTCACAACTCCAGAAGGGAAAGAAGGAGTAGCTTAGGGCCCTGTACCACACTAGCGACTGCTTTGAGGTTCAGCTCCACATTTCCTGGTCCCAGAGCCCAAGCTGTTCCAGTGACATGAGTTATTGTTGTAATTCCTGAGATATTCTAAAGCTTTGTTTTCCTTCTTAAATAGTCTAACACCCATGTATTTATTCATCAAAGAAAAAAATAGCCCAGAAAACCTGTTTTTGATGGAAAACAGGTGTTATCCCAATCGCATTCATTCAGAAGTTAGTGCTTATAACAATGACTCAACACAGTCAAATAAAATTGAAAATCATTTTATGATTTCCACTTGTTAATAAAACTTAATGAAGAGGAGTCACAAGGAAAGCATTTCATGTGTTGCATAGCCTTTCCTTTGTGCTGTGTGTGTATGTGTGTGTTCATTTCTTATTAATACATGAATTTTCCAAACCTAATTCACTATTATTGAGTCTCTGAGCAGCTGGGAGGTAGGCAAGAGGGAGGCTTTGCACTGTATATGGATGCTGTTAGGCTTGGAAGAAATATTAGCTCAGTACCCATTAGTCTCAGTATTTTAAAGATTGCCATGCAGCAAGGGGTCCTCCAGTTACAAAAGGGAAGGGAAGGCAGATGGTAGTGGCTTGGGTGCATGTACAAATGCCACTTACCTTTAAACAGTACCTGTACCTACCCAGGTATTGCCTTGTGACCTAATTATTCCTAGGTACAATGAGAAGAGTGAATCTTAGGTCCAATGCCACTAAGTCCCCAGCTGATACAAGATCCATAAGTCTAGAACCAAAATCACTGGATTGCATGAGACTCAATTATTACTGTTCTAGTTAAAACACAAAATGAGGGCTAGGAGCTTGATTCAAGTGGTAGAACACTTGCCAAGCATGTGTGAGACTTTGATTTCAATACCAGGTATTGCAAAACTTCCCAGCTATATACACAGAAGCATGAGATGTTAAAAGCTTTACTTGGGCTACAGTAGGTCTGTGAAAGAGTAGAAAAGTGAGTTTCTTTGGCACCAAAAGCCACAGCCACTGGATTGAAAAAGTAGCTCTGCTCTTCCATGTACTATTCTGTGTTAATCAGTTCAAACTTTAAAAAGATCATCACCTTTTGTGAAGCATTGTATTTTTATCCCTCTTAATTCTTGTAGCGCTCTGGGCGTGCCAGTGACAGACCACACGTATGAGGACTGCAGGCTCATGATTTCGGCTGGACAGCTCACACTGCCCATGGAAGCTGGGCTGGTGGAATTTACCAAAATCAGCCGTAAGTTAAAGTAAGTGTCTTCTTACTATACTTTTAGATTGGTCTTAGCAAAGGAGCTCATCTTTTGTCTCACTTTATTATTGTTCCATTCTCAGATCCTGTGGTGTTTGTTAGGAAAGCAAGGATTGGGAGCTTATCTCCCATTTTATTGTTGGGTTTAGTATTTTTTTGAGAACAGTTCAGTTGAGGATTTGTGCATGCTTTGATCACAGGAAGAAAGCAAGGGACAGAGAACATGGGTACAGATGGCCTTCCTTGTTGGACATGACTCTCCATGGTTGATTAGTGCTCCTGCTTTGCTACCAGAAGGTTAGCATGATATGATAGATACCTCACATGGAAGAAGCTCCAATAATAATTCTGACCACCAATGCTTTTTTAAAATACTTTCCCTAGATCTACCTTTCTTATTTTCTGGGTACTTGTTTTTATTTCTCCCAAAGAGGAAAACACCCCTTGGTACTTTTGTGATTTGGAATGAACTATTTGCAACATTCCTATCTAGCTACCTGGTATAGAAGTTCTAGGTTCATTCTGTTCTTAATGCTAGTAGGAATGTACAGAGTGTACAGCTTCAGTGGATCTTGATGTCTCTTCTAGGAAGTTCATGCAGAACAAGCCACCGCATGCAAGTTCAGTGTTAAAATACAGTAATTTTGTCCATGGCTCATGTCTGTAATCCTATTTACCCAGGAGACAGAGATCTGAGAATCACAGTTTGAAGTCACCCAGGATAGGAAAGTCCATGAGACTCTTATCTCCAATTAATTACCAAAAAAAAATGAGAAATAGAGCTATGTCTCCGGTGGTAGAGCATTAGCCTTGAGCAAAAGGAACTCAAGGCCTAGACACTGTCTAGGAAGAGCATGGTTACTTTTTTAATCCAGTGGTTGTGGCTTTTCTTGCCAAAGAAACACATTTTTTCTACTCTTTCACAGACTTACTGTGGGCCCAAGTAAAAACTATATATACATATATATTTATATGTATAATAAACATATATAAATTTATGTATATAAGTTTATGCATAAATATACTTACATATTTTATATACTTTATATAAATATATAATATATAAGAAATATAATATATGAGATATCATATTTTTGATAAATGGTATAAAAATATTATTTCTACCTTCAAGATAGTAAAATGCTTTGCTCTTGTTTTATTTAGTGTTATATCCACAGTAGCCCATAGATTAAAAAATGTAGCTACACGCTGAAATTAGATGTAGAAATGTGGCTTGTTTAATTTTTATATGACAGAGTCAGAAATGATGTAAGCTACAGTAGAACTTTCTAGTGTTTCACCACTGTGATTGATTTATTTATTATAACTGGTACCGGAGGAAGTGTGTATAGTCTAATGAATCTCCAGGTAGTAATATTTTGTGAAGTGTGACTTTTCAGCCTAAAAGCTCTTTGAAAGTAAGATTTACAGCTTCTTTTGTAGCAACTCAATAAATACTACTTACTTACTAAATTAACATTTGGGATAAAATTTATAATCTCATTTTCCTCTCATGAATAACTTTTTATTCCACCACATTGTTCTTCTGACTTCCTTTTCTTTCCCTTTGGTATTCCAATATATTTATCAATTATATGAAAATGCTTCTTAAAAATTAAATGTTTGCAGATGTGTTCAGTATGTCTCTTTAAGAACCCTTTTGCATCTCCTTTTTAATCTTAACCTACACAATGTTTTTCCTTCAGATAAATTAATAGAACAGTGCTTTTAAGCAGTCCAGGTGGGTGGTAAAAAGCTAATCATGTGTGTTTATGATTCTTGGCTTAGACTAGATTGGGATGGCATTCGTAAACACCTGGATGAGTATGCGTCCATTGCAAGTTCCTCCAAAGGAGGGAGAATTGGAATCGAAGAATTTGCAGAATACTTGAAGTTACCTGTTTCAGATGTCCTGCGACAACTTTTTGCACTCTTTGACAGGGTATGTGAAAATTTAACCTTTAACAGTTTGACTCTGCCAGTCCTCACAGGGCATAGATCGATACGCTAAGTGATTGCAGACACTTGTTAAGTCGGTATCAGAAGAATTAAGGCTGAGCTTGTAGCATTATTTTATTTTTTTAAATCACCTAGTATGAAGACTAGTAATAGCATGTGTGTGCATTGCAACAGTAATGATGGTGCATAGTTATTCCAAATGTTAGTGCAATATTTATTAGGCCGGTAATAAATACTGTGACCATAGAGTCCCATCTGTAATTTGGAATTGGAGAAGTCTGTATAACTGGTAAGGATCTCAGAATTTATATAAAGTTTTGTACATTGATGGCATGGCAGGTGTGGTCATTTTTTATTCTAATAGCTTCTGGACTTCTTCCAGAAGGTATGAATCACAAGTAGATTTTATTTTCAACTGTTTTCTGCTTGTGAATATATAAGTATTGGCAATTAGAAAAAAATGGTCAAAAAGCTATCTTAAGAAAAAGGTTATCAGGATTTAAAGTTCTGATTTTTTTATTTGCTTTTTTTTGACATGTGAAATTGGCAGGAAAATTCAGTCCTTTCTGACAATTCTGAGTTCCAGCCGATTCATAGAGGCATGAAACTGCTCTGGCAACCAACACATAGCTGTTGTGCAAAAATCCAATCCCTTGAAGCCTTGTGTTTGTAGTCAAATCCATTCCATCCCTGTCCTGCCAGTTCAGGAGCTGCTGTGCATCCCTGTGAGTTCACATGCTCCAGATGCCAGATCAGTGCAACCATGTGGTATTAGAGTCTCCATTCTAGTGTCTTTCACATAGCATCAGGCATTTGAGATTCCAGGGTGGTCTATGTCTCCATTACCTTTCCCTGTTTAGTACTGAGTAGAGTCCCAGTGTGTAGACATACCACCATCAGCATTTCTATTCCTCAGTTGAGGAACATTTGATTGGTGTCCATCTGGAAGCAGTTCTGCAGGTAGCTATAACCTGAGCATCCAGGTATGGGTTTTGTATAAATGTAGGCTTTTTGTTTCATTTGGGTAAAGATTTAAGGATTTGATTTCTTTCTTTTTCCTTTTCTAAAGATAACTGTAATTTGCATTTTTTTTCTAATGGACATTTTTGTCATGTATAGGATTCAGAATTGATCTTAACAATTTGAAGATGGTCTGTTGCCTTCTCAACTCCAGGGTCTCACAGCTTTGCCAACTGATCATTCTCCAAGTTTTGCTTTTTTTAAATTACTAATCCTGCTATGGTAACTTGTCCAGTTTCTCTCTCTCTCTTTCTTTCTTTCTTTCTTTCTTCCTTCCTTCCTTCCTTCCTTCCTTCCTTCCTCCCTTCTTCCTTTCTTCCTTTCTTCCTTTCTTTTTTGTTTCTCTTTGTATTTTGCTTTGAGAGATTAGTCATATTTGGGAAAGAGAAGCTAAACTAGGCTTGTTTCCTCTTGACTGGTACCAGAAGACCAGGTCCTCTATTTCCTCTGGAAAATGAAAACTATATCTTGATGACAGCAGGATGGGCCTCTTCTCTTTTCCAGAGCATACTTTTCTTTCTAATGATTAACTTTGATAACATCCTTTAATGTGCTTCCATTAAGCAACGTTCTCCTGTAGGTAATATCTGGGCCACTCTTCAGGCTTTGGTAACGGTATATAAATTATTTCCCCTCCCACATCAAATTACGATGTGTCAGTGCCATGGTGTCTGGTACTGTAAAAAAGGAAAGGAAGATTTAGGGGAGGAAAATTCAATTATTGGATGTATCGATGCAAGTTGGAAAATGAGAAGTAACTTTCCACTTTTAAAATCACAAGTCCTTCTGTGAGATTTCTAGAGTAATTTTCGCTGTGGCTTGAGAATCCATACAAGTCATCATGATCAGTATAATTTCTCTGTCTACATAACCAGTTGTGGAAGGAATATGGCTAGGACGTACAAACAAGGACAGCAGACACAGAAATGAGAAAGGACACAAAACCTAGACAAAGGAGGAAATTTATAGCACATCTTAGAGCTCATGTTCACCAGCATCATAAATCAAAATTAAAAAGAGTTCCTATGGAGGTTGCTCTGCCCTTCAGGTAATCAAACTGTCCTAGGATGGTAAGGACATCAGTTCTGTGTGAATGATTGATGACACCTGCCACCAACCTCAATAGTTCCCATAGCACTTGGAACTACAGTAGGTTTGGGAATGGAGAAGGTTGTTGCTGTAGAGCAAGGATGGAAATACCCATCAATTATCCAGACTGACTCACTCTGAACTAGGCAAGACAAGTGTCCCCAGGCACTGGGGAAGCTGTGAGAATGGTTCCTCCAGGGACTCCCCTAGAAAGCTCCCCAGTTATTTCTGTCTGAGAGTTTGCTTCCCTTCTTAGCAGCTTTAGCTAGGACCCCTAAGCTCATCTCTAAAGTGGTTTTCTTTTGATCTTTGACCTATTGGAAGATAGAGAGAAAATAGTCTAAGATCAATAACTAATGCACTCGATCTCCATCTCTTTCTCCTTCCCTCCCACTGTTAACACACCTGCAGGTCTGTGCCTGTACTGAGGCTTTCTGTTTTGTGAAGCTGAATTATGTAATTGCTGCCCCACCCTGGACACCTCCCCACTTCCATGCCAGGCTTGTTTTCCCAGTCTAGCTACGTGATTTAGCTGGGGAATGTTTGATGGGAAAAGCGAGGAAGTTCAGCGGCTCTATAGTTTGTTTCTCTCTTATCTTGGTAAATTCAGTGCATAATGAGGGGTGGGGGCAGGGAAGGAAGGGTGGGAAAGAGAAAAAAGGGTAGGGTGTTCCTGTTGCTCTTTCGGTGGCCATAAATTTCTATGATACAAACCTCCCATAAGACTTCCCATTCAGGGGCTGGGAAGGTGGCTCAGTGGTAGAGTGCTTGCCTTGCATGCATAAGGCCCTGGGTTCAATTCCTCAGCACCACATAAGCAAAAAGAAAAAAGCCAGAAGTGGTGCTGTGGCTCAAGTGGCAGAGCGCTAGCCTTGAGCTGAAGAGCTAAGGTACAGCGCCCAAGCCCAGAGTTGTTCAGGCCCCACCACTGGACCCCCCCACCCCCTGCAAAAAAAAAAAAAAAAGACTTCCCATTCACCTTTCCTCTATCTCCCTCTCTCCTTCCTTTACCCCCTTCAGTCTTTTCTCAAATATAACACCATTGTCAGACTGTCATTTTAAGGATAGAGAAAAGATGACTTTCTCCACCATTCCCTTACTCTTTCTTCCCAGCGTGTTTTTGGCTGGTCTATGAAAGCTTCATAATGGCTTTTGTCTCAAGTTGTCCTAAAAAACATAGCTAGTTGCAGTTTGTTCTATAGATCCTCAGATACTTGATGGCAAGAATGTGTCACTCATGATCTGAAGCACGGCAATATGTACCAGCTTCCTCTGGAAAGTTCCAAAATCATTGGGAGGCAAAAAAGGAGGAAAAGACCCTTTCATTCTTGAGTTTAATTTAGCTTTTTATTTTCACAAATATGTATTGAATTCCCCAGATCAGAGGGTAATTGGGGAGGAGTTAAATATCCACATGAGTTCGAGTTTAGAACTAAAACAAGGGTTTAAAACGGTGTCTTCTCAGTATTTTTCATATTTATCATTCAAATTAAATATTAGACTTTGCTCACTAGGAATCAGATTTGAAGGAATTTAAAAGCATTTGATAAAAATAAAAATAATACTAACTAAATCAGAAATAATTATCAGACAGTTGTGTTTTTGTTTTGCTTTTGTTTTTGTTTTCTTTTTTTGCTGGTACTAGGGTTTGAACTCAGGGTTTCATTGTTGCTCTGCTGGTACTCTACCACTTGAGCCACACCTTTAATCATGCATGTTTTTTGCTCATTATTTGGTGATGGAGTTTCACAGATTATTCTGTGCAGGCTGGCTTTGAACTGTGATACTCTGGATCTCAGTCTCTTGAGTAGCTAGGATCACCGGCATGGCCCATCCCACCTGACTGAGCCAGTTTTTTTCACAGCTATAGTCATATCTGGCTGTGGCATCAGTTTTCATTCAAACCTCCATAAGCACTGTCCTGTTGAGCAGACGTGTGTGCTATTGGGACAGTGGAATCTTCTGACCTTCTGACCTGTGAGACAGTCACCACGTGTTTCAGCCACCACGCAGTTGTTGCTCCTCCATATTACCTGCCTGTCACCTCTTACTGCCATATTCTGCATCTCATGATACAGTCAGTGTACTGTGACCATCTGACATTCTCACCATAACAGCACATCCATTCAGTACTAGAACTAGACAGAATCTTCTCCAGAAGGCCAGATGCAGGATATCTTTTCCCTGTCAGAACCTCTGATCTCTGTTGCAAGCATTCATCTCTGTCATCAAAGTACAAAAGCAGGCATAGAAAGTTTGCTGGACCGTGCGGCCTGGCTGGTCACAATAAACTTTGTTTACAGAACATTGGCCAGTGTGGATTGGGTTCACCAGCTGTTGTTTGCTGATCCTGCTTCCAAAACAACAAGGCATGCTGGTAGGTTTAAGGGCTTGATCAACGATGGCAGGCGTTGCTTAGAGTGACCACGGTTAATTTGTGGGATGCTCCACATCTGATCCACAGCAGATCACTAGGACTCTTTGTTTTTGACTGACCCGCCTATCTCTTGTTAACTCCTCCCACAGTTCTAACTAGTGGTTTATCATGCATCTTCGAAGATAATAGGAAAGGAAAGAGGAAGATGGCCTTATCAATCCTCATCTATAGTCTGGCAAGAACTCTGCATCTCTCTTTATCAGAACTGTTACAGACCTTTGCCTCGTCAAATTGAGGGAGTTACTATTTCCATGCCGTAAAAACAAATGGACAGGTTGCTGTTATTTTTCCCACTTTTGCTGTCTAGTACTGAGTTCTTCTGGCCTAACTTGGTCCTTTGTTTAGATATTAGACAGGAAAAAGTTGTGTATGCTTCAGCACTTTGGCAACCCAGCCTTTTTGGCTATTGTAAACTTCTGTGGATCTTTTATTACTGCTTCATTATACGGAATGAATGTGTTTCTTTATCCCAAGTTCTCCCTGTATCCCTGTTCTTGGTCTTAGTTCAAGTGGATGTCTAGAGTGCCAATAATAACAAGCCAGCATCCCTGCCTGCCCCTTCCTGTTAAGAGGAGGCAGACCGCTGCCCTGTGCAGGTTTTCTGCGCATGCTAGTTAGGACATGACACCTAGTGGGTTTTAAGTGGTTGGGAATCAAGCATAACATCTGTCTTTTAAAGTTTCATCTCAGTTTTGGTAAGTGTTTCCTAGTTCATGTAAGTGTTTCCTAGTTCATCAGGATCTGTTTCTATAATTTCTGTAGTTTCTGTGATAGGATTTGCAGATGAAGGCTGTAACTTTCTGGGTGAGACAGATCAGCTTTTCTATTCAAATTGTCCTGAAAGTGTAGTGGTCCTGTGTGGCTGAGCGTATCTTCCTTCAGTTCTCAGGTTGACCTAGCTCTCCCGCATTTAGCCCATCAGAATGTTTTCTGTCAGAGTGTTATTAAACTGAGAGTTACTGGACATGGGAATGAACATGCTTTCCTTTTGGCTTTTTAATGCATGTGTACCTGGGAAGCAAATAGAGGAAAGGAGACTGCAACAATTCAAGCTTAATCTCTTTACTACTGCAAGTGGGTACTTACTGGTCTCCTCCAAGAGCAAAAAGATGTCAAGAACAGGGTTCTGTAGGAAACAGATTCTCTGACAATTTACTTGCCCCCTGTGACAGAGTGACAGCCCAGGGTTGTAAGAAAAAATGGATACATCTATATGAACTCTAGAAAGACTTCTGATTTCATCAAACATCACATGGTTAAAATCTCCAGTGAATTACAAAAGTCTGGTCCAGATCAGATTGCAGTCAGATGAAAGTCCCCCTCTACAGTTGTGAGAACTTGTAGATCCTTTTGTGTTGAGCTAGATCAGGTTCATTTCCACTACCTTGGAATTCTATTTGGAAGAAACACACATAGTTGACAGGTTGAACTTCAGGCAGTTTGTCAAAGTGAGGGTAAGTAAGCATAGCTTTAAAATGTGTGAAACCAGACTCAAGATGTAGATAATTAAATTAATGTATAGTAGAAAGGCATAAGCACAGGAAGGAAACTGAGCTCCCTGTTTAGAATGAGCTACTGTCACTCTTTCCTGGCACACGGATGTCTAAACTCCCAGAATACAGAACTCACAGGACCTTTGCTATCAGATTGCCTGTCCTTTATTTTTGTGGGAAGCGGCCAGTCCAGTTCGCAAGAGGCAGTGATAGCTCGATTGATAGTTAGTTCATCGCAGGATTAGGACTAAAATTTCTAGTTTGGTAATCTTGTCCCTACAAGCTGTCATTGTTGGCTTTAAAAATAGCTTTTTTGAGGTACATTTCTCATATCTGTAACTCACTCATCTTTCTCTGATGAACTTAACAAGGTATACAGTTATTATTATCAGTCAGCTTTAGATCATTTGTATCATTAATTATGTTTTTCTGTCACTTACTTAACCTTGCAGCCTTAGATAACTACTAATCTATGTTTTGTCTCAGTAGATTTCTTTTTCTGGATGTATAGTATAAATGAGTTCTATGGTCTCTTCTTTCTGTCTTGCTTATTATGTTTGACGTTCATCCGTTTAGTAGGTGTTAGTAATTTACTGCATTTTGCTACTGGGTAGTGATTCTTCATCTAGAGATAGCATATTATATTTATCTCTCGTCATGATTATTTCACACTTAGATTGCTTACGCTTTACACTGTTAGAATATTGTTGCCAATGACATTCCTGCATTGTTGTTCACTGTTTATGTTTATCAACTCCTCCCTCAAATGGGACTTTTTCCTTCTCTGTGGCCTATTCCCCAACCTTTTTTCTCCACATCTGGACAATAGAGTTCTCTCCCAGACAGCAGTTAAGGCTGTCTGGATAAAATAACCATTGGGATTAGTCTAGAGAGTAAAAGGCTTGTTAATCTATTACTAGTCTTTTATGAGAAATGGTTAGCCAAATGCCCTCCTTCTTCATAGACAAAATGTTAGAGGAATTGGATTTTTCAACTGCAGACAAAGAATATTTGGGATGGGCAAAGGGAGGTATATTGTTTATGATGGTGGATGGTATCATCAAGTTAATTAACAATATTACAAAAACAGAAACCTGGTGATTTCCTCTCAGCCTTAGGTGAATAGATTTAAATCTGTCTAAGGCACCTTGTGATCGCCTAAAAGGAAAATCAGCCCCTTTGTCAGTCTTTTTCTATGTGGTTAAGGGAGACATTCATCCTTGGGTGTTCAAAGGCATCATTTCATCGTGCCTGTGAGAAATAAAGTCAGTCATTAGAGTGTCACACAAACCCCTGTGTATGGCATAAGGAGACAGGACATTGCTCCTGTGTCCCTGGACTCTACCAGCTACTAGCTCAGTTCTAGAATCATACCGTTTCCAAAGTAAGTTCATACCTCTAGGCTTCACATGTCACTTGTCAGTAGTGGTGCAACAAGCGGTAAGACAAGCTCTGTCACATACAATTCAAAACCCCACCCATCCCTGGTTCCATTTTATTGATGTCTTTCTATTTCCTACCATCCCCAGAAATAGACTCTCAGCTTACCATCTCTTGAATACTTGATAACCTTTAGCTCCCCTTGTCAGTGTCAGTTTGGGAAGATGAAAAGGTTCTGAAGGGTCTGGGAAGGTGGCTCAGTGGTAGAGTGCTTGCTTTGCATGCTTGAGGCCCTGGGTTCGATTCCTCAGCACCACATAAGCAAAAAAGAAAAAAGCCGGAAGTGGTGCTGTGGCTCAAGTGGTTAGAGCACTAGCCTTGAGCTGAACAGCTGAGGGACAGCGCCCAGGCCCAGAGTTCAAGCCCCACGACCGAACCCCCCAAAAAATAAATAAATAAAAAGAACAAGAAAAAAAAAAGAAAGAAAAGGTTCTGAAAATGGTAGTGCAATGCTTTCACAATAATGCAAATAATTAAGATGACAAATTTGCAGGCTTAATGTATTTTTATCATCATTTAAAACCTTTCATATTTTAAATTAAAAAACCAGGAAAAAGGTGTTTATTCTATTTCATTTACCTATGATGAAAAAAGTTAATGTGTGGTGTTAGATGTTGGGGCATCCATTGTCCATGGGAGAAGGGAGTAATTGGAAAGAAGCACTCAGGGGGCTTCTGGTTTCAGGTTTGTGTTCTGTTGATGAAATTCTTGGAGCTATAAATATGAGAGTTGTATATGAGAGTTACACCTCAGAAAATAGTCAAATGGGGGCTGGGAAGGTGGCTCAGTGGTAGAGTGCTTGCCTTGTATGCACGAGGCCCTGGGTTCGATTCCTCAGCACCACATAAGCAAAAAAGAAGAAAAAGAAAAAAGCCAGAAGTGGCGCTGTGGCTCAAGTGGTAGAGCACTAACCTTGAGCTGAAGAGCTGAGGGACAGCGCCCAGGCCCATAGTTCAGGCCCCACCACTGAACCCCCTCCCCCCTCCCAAAAAAAAAAGAAAATAGTCAAATGATACTGATCATGGACCCCAGAGCAGAACCACAGACTCATGTTTTTTCTGAAGGTAGGACCTGCAAGTTAAAAATCCTCCTTGCAAGTTTGTGTTAAGATCATCAGATCTCAATAATCTTCTTCTAAAGGAAGAGGTAAATTCTTCAGTTCAACCCTCGACAATAAGTATTTCTTACCAAAGAAGCCTCTGACTTCTTTGAGTCATACTTCTTCTGCTGGAAAAACACATGTCATCATTGTTGAGGTGCTGAGAGAGTGAAGAAAGCAAGGGCATTCAGAAATGTATTGTTTGGCATTCTCTATTGGAACTGTTATTCTAATGTGTTGTAGGGGATCCTTTATGAGTATTTAGCTGGAAGAGTGGAAAACATTTTTTGTTTGAAGCTCTCAAAGGTGGCAGGTGCTAGGACCTGGTGGAATTCTGGCAACTTCAGGATGAACCATCCAGTCCTGGGCGTGGTGCCTTCCTAGCAGGTTCAGAAAAGCCAGTTCTGTTGTAGTAAGCTACTTGCGCTCTCTTTCGGTGCTTTTCCTCCCATCTGCAGGATTTCCGCAGCTTTTCCGCTTGCTTCTGAAAGTGGAAGCATGTTCCTGGCAAAGGCTATCTTGGAAGGGGCAAATCAAGGCCTTGGAGAAGCTCTGGGAGGCCTTCTTGGAGGAGGTGGTCAGCAAAGAGGTGGAAGGGGAGCGGGAACAGGGGGAAATATCGGAGGGATCATTGGAGGAATCGTCAATCTTATCAGCGAGGCCACGGCAGCTCAGTACACCCCAGAGCCTCCTCCCACCCGGCAGCATTTCACCAATGTGGAGGCCTCTGAAAGTGAGGAAGTCAGGTGGTTCCGGCACCAGTTTGCCCAGCTGGCTGGACCAGACATGGAGGTGGGTGCCACTGACCTGATGCACATCCTCAACAAAGTCCTGGCCAAGCACAAGGATCTGAAGACTGACGGCTTTAGCCTTGACACCTGCCGGAGCATCGTATCTGTCATGGACAGTGACACCACGGGGAAGCTGGGCTTCGAAGAGTTTAAGTACCTGTGGAACAACATCAAGAAATGGCAGTGTGTCTATAAACAGTACCATCGGGACGGTTCCGGCTACCTGGGAAGTGCTCAGCTGCGGGGGGCTCTGCAGGCAGCGGGCTTCCAGCTAAATGAACAGCTTTACCAAATGATCATCCGCCGCTATGCTGACGAGGAGGGGAGGATGGACTTTAACAACTTCATCAGCTGCCTGGTCCGCTTGGATGCCATGTTTCGTGCCTTCAAATCTCTGGATAGAGACGCAGATGGACTGATTCAAGTATCCATCCGAGAGTGGCTGCAGCTCACCATGTATTCCTAAAGGGAATGCTGAGCCATCAGGACCACCACTGGAGGCCTGGGCTCCCCGAAGCCTTACCCTGCCTTGCTGGCTACATTGTAGACACCTCACGCACAGCCAGTGCTCATAGCCCTGCACAGTTCTGAGCATGTGCAATGCTTTGTGGCTTAATTAAAGCACATTTTTCATGAAAACTATCCCGCATGGTTTGTATATCAGCTTTTTAAGATACTGAATTTGTAGTGACTTCTAGATATAATGAGCAGGTATGGGGTGGAGTTCAAATGGAATAGGTTTTCAAAAGTTGTTGCTTGTTTGGTGAATGAATTCCAAAGAGTTAGAAGTCTATTATGATTGTTATTTGTTAATAACAACTTGTTGAAAATAATTAAATCCTGGAATAAATCAAGAAAGCACTTTGTGTGTGTGTGTGTGTGTGTGTGTGTGTGTGTGTGTGTGTCTGTTTCTGTGTTTGTGTCTGTGTCTGTGTCTGTGTATAGGTTCAAAGTCTGTTTTTTTCATAATTTCATATCTGGTCTTTCCATTATAAAGAAACATGAAAAGTGCTCTCTAGGAATCCTACTTTACTATATATAGGTTTAGGTTCAGAAATATGAAGTTAGGCAATTTCATATAAGGAGAGCATGCTTTAAATGACAGAGCAGCTATCTCTAATTCTAGAATTCTTCCTTCCATTCTGTAGCAACACCAACACTTGGCTGTTTGGTGTGAGTTTTGTTTTGTTTTGGTAAATTTGTGAAGAGAATGGGCTATTGAGGAATCCTGAGATCTATCCCTAGTTGAAAAGCACCTTTGACAGCCTTAACGAATCAGAAGGATCTCTCTTACGCTTACTTCACACAAATCCACACCTGCCCAGCTAACACTGGCCAGTTCTTGTCATGTCTTGCCCTACCTCAGAGCAAGGAACGTTCTTGCGCTTATCTTTGGAAACTGTAGACAGGGAAAGCAAACAAAGAAAAACATATAAATAATAATAAGTTCAATGGAATATAGCCCAACCTAGAAAACAAATAGCACTGACTCTTCTCTGCCCTGGCTGCAAGTCAGAATCATTGGGAGAATTTTTGTTTTTTGATTTATTTTTGTTAGTCATGGATCTTGAACTCTGGGCCTGGGCACTGTCCCTCAGCATTTCAGCTCAAGGCTAGCACTCTACCACTGGAGCCACAGTGCCACTTCCTGTTTTCTGGTGTTGTTATTGGAGATGAGTCTCACGGGGGCTGGAAAGTTGGCTCAGTGGTAGAGTGCTTGCTTGCATGCCTGAGGCCCTGGGTTCTATTCCTCAGCACCACATAAGCAAAAAAGAAAAAACCCAGAACTGGCGCTGTGACTCAAGTGGTAGAGCGCTAGCCTTGAACTGAAGAGCTGAGGGACAGTGCCCAGGCCCAGAGTTCAGGTCCCACGACCGGACCCCCCCCCCCCAAAAAAAAAAAAAAAGCATCTCATGGACTTTCCTGCTTGGGCTGGCTTTGAACTGTGATCCTCAGATCTCAGTTCCTGAGTAGCTAGGATTACAGGCATGAGCCACCGATGCCCAACTAGGAGAATTTTCTTTGTTCGTTTGTTTTGTCAGTTGTGGGACTTGAACTCCAGGCCTGGGTGCTGTCCCTCAGCTCTTCAGCTCAAGGCTAGCATTCTACCACTTAAGCCACAGTGCTACTTCCATGGGAGAATTTTTTGAGCAAACTAGTAACCATGTCCCACGCAAAAGAAGCCTCTTCAGCAGGAGAGCACAGAGAGGACTGTTCCTAAGCTACCCTGGAGATTGCAAGTTCATACCATGACCCTTCCCATCCCTGCTGTCTACCCAGAACTTTCAGACCTGTCTCTGCCATACCTGAGGCCCTGCAGGAGAGGTCGCACGGCAGTGTTCAGGAAGAAGTCAGGAGTGGTCATACCTTTCTTGGGTAAAGCCCTTGGTATGATGTTATCATTTCTTTTATTAGCATACGTTAGTTGTTTTCATCCCCATCACCCTTCTTCCCCTCCACTCCTGTCCCGACCTTCTTAATGTAATTACAACAGGTTTAATTGTTCTCTTTTCATACATGCAGACTACTTCAACCACCACTTCAGGCCTAGTTTTGCAGTGTTGATCCAGGATCCCCAAATGAATAGACTCAGCAGGAGAGCCTGCACTGAAACTAGCTACCCACTAATTAATTGGTTTCCATCTCTTCTGCTGATGTGTGTATGTGTGTGTGTGTGTGTGTGTGTGTGTGTGTGTGTACATACACACATACATACATATACACACATATATGTATACATGCATATGTATATGTGTATACATGTGTGTACATGATATATATATATATATATGCACACACACACGTGTGTGTGTGTGTGTGTGTGTGTGTGTGTGTGTGTGTGTGTGTGTGTGTGTATGGGTTCTCTGCTCCGGGCTACTTTGAAGAATCTTCCTGAATTTCAAGATAAATTCTTCTTTCCTCTTGGACTCCTTTAGAAGAAGGTTGTGACCTGTGGGAATGATGCAATTGCATGTTGGGAATCTCTGAGGGTCTGTTAGAAATCCGAGGTGAAATTGGGAGAGGTTGTCATAGGCTGCTGTGTTTCCTGCCATCGCCATCACAGAACATTTATGAAACACCATAGGCCTGTAATTCTCAGGTGAAGCAAGCACACAAAACACATCCACTTTCCTCAGGGGACTTGTGACTTCACTTGGTCTGGAAAGCTCCTTAGACAAGGTGTGGTTATATAACCCTATGATGGTGACAGCGAGCATGCATTAATATCAGCTGCCCTGTTAGAGAATAAATCCAAGAATCTTGATAGGCGTAGATAGGTGTAGAAGAATAGCCAGGAAAGGGAGAAAGCTGCCAAGATGTTTTTTTTAAAGGAGTTAGAATGTTAACTTCATAATGTAACTTTTCCACTTTATGGTTGTTGGAATGGCAGTGTGCAACAAATACACTGCAAATGTTTTATTAAAGGAAAAACAATCCTCTCACACCAGGAATGGTATGAAGTGTTTCCTCCATTTCTCAAGGTGAGGAATACCTGCTTCTATGACTCTCCCAGTGTGTGTGTGTGGAAGAGTATGCTGAGCAGATGCACGGTTCTTACCTGGTATCCTTGGGTTTGTAATTGAGACCCTCAGTTACTGAAGTGGATAGTAGAAAATTCACTCAGTCTAGATTTCTCCAAGTAGATGAATCTTTGGCATTGTGTAGAACCAGGAACCCAGCTCCTGGTTAAATGTCTTCATTGTCCTTCAGTATTTCATGTTTTTAAAGTACATTTGTAGTGTCACTGGAAGTGTTAATCAACAACTTTTTAAAATGTATACAGCTCTGTATGGAAAATTATTTATAGTCTAAGATGAAGATCTTTGTTGAATCTCTGTCACTAAAAATATAGTCAGTGGAATAAATTAAACCTCATAAAATATGTGAAGGTATATCACTCACACTTGTACATTTCAGAATAGCCCATAGAATTTTGGGAACTAAGTTTATCTTCATATAATCTACTAAGTTCTATCACCTGAGTAACGCAGGAAAAGAAAATATTTGCTTCATCTAAGAGTAGCCAACTTACAAAGACATTCAAAATTTGAGTATCATTTACAAGGGCAGCTTTAAAGAATTTTTGAGTAGCACATGTGTTTTCAAAAATAGTAGGATTGTATGACTGCCCAGATCTGGGGGAGTAGCACTTAAAACATACTTGTAAAGCCAGGTGCCAATGGCTAGTTGTCCACAGTCCTAGCCACTCAGGAGACTGAGATCCGAGGATCAAGGCTCAAAGCTAACCCAAGCAGAATACTCCAAGGAATTCCATCTCCAATTAGCAAAATCCTCAAGGAGAGGCATGGTTCAAGTGGTAGAAAACCAGCCTAAAGAGCTGGTAGACCTGAAGAACATATAGACCTGAGTTCAAGCCCCAGTACTGGCAAGCGTGCGGGCACCCCCCCCACTAAACATTTGTATTAATATTTAATATGCATCAAACTTGAACGTTCAGAATTTGCTTTCCAAAATGTTTCCTTGTTGGAGGCATGGCTAAGATGGTAGAGTGCTTCCTTAGTAAGCACAGGTCAAGTTCAAAACCTAGTATTGCCAAAAACAAGAACAAAAACAAAGGAAAGAACTTACTTAATGCCAAGTATATTAAAACAGCTTAAATCCCAAGAAAACTGGCAATATTCTGAGGCACATGAGTACAAATAAACTCTTAATCAGAATACACAAGCGGACAGAATACTTCTTCCCTGACTTTTGGATGACTGAAGATTGATTGGATTTGTAATGTCTTCAAAGACAAAGAGTCTTTTGTTGTGGACTGATGACAAGCAAATTCTGTTTGATGTAAACATTTTCAAAATGATTTGGAGAATGCTGATTATCTTCCAGCTGCAAAGATAATATTATACCAGAGATAACATAAAAGAGAAAGAGTCCCTATACTGGAGAGTTCAATATTGAGAAATAATATCCTGAAATGTTGTTAGACTTAAAACACAGAGTATCTGAATCCAAATGAAAAATGATGAATAAATCCTCCTGTGGAACAGCTCCGGAAGACTGGCACCTGAGAATTCCTCCTGACATTTCCAGCAGACAGTGTTTGAACAAGTGACCTAGAACTTCCTTCTGACCTTGGAAGCCAGTGTGATCTCGCTGAGTGATTGACAGATGCTGGAGGCCATGGATTCACCATGGCCCCACACAGCCATTCTTTTCTGACCCTGCTGACCACTGGGAAAGGACTGAGGCTCACGGCATGGATCTACAACAAGGCTCTAAGCAATTCCTTGCTTCCATTTCTCTAGATAGAGTTATGATGATGAGTTATGATGGTTTGGTGGTATAGGTAACATTGGATGTCTCACAAGCAAGACACAACCTAAAATCAAAGGAGGGTTCCCAATCATCCAATCAGTCATTGTAACTTTAGAGTCCACACATCATTTTTAGATCAGTTCTTTAGAACTCCTATTTAAGATTTCTTAGTGGAAAAGGCCAATTGCCGTGGGGGTATGGTGGCCCACGTAGGCAATTCCAGTTATCTCAGAAGCAGAAATGAGAAGATCAAGGTTAGGTTTGAGGCCAGCCTGAGCTAAATAAGTTAGTAGGACTCTATCTTTAAATAAGCCGAGTCTGGTGGTACATACTTACGAATCCCAACTCTTCAGGAGGTATAGATGGGAGGAAGACAGGCCAGGCACAAGCCAGGTACAGCCACACCTTTGGAGGTGTGGCTCAGCTGGTAGAGTGCTTGGCCAGTAAGTAAGTGCAAGGCCCTGAGTTCAAGCCCTATTACTATACACACACACAAATATGAAAAACAGAAGAAATTTGTCTATGTCGCACAACATAGCTATGTTTCATTAAGCACCTCTCTGCTCTGAGGCTTCTTGGCTATGGACTGCAGCTGGTGGTGGTGCTTTCCCTGGTATACCCAGTAGTCAGTCAGACTGTAGATGGAAGGGGACATCCTGCTGAATATAAATTACACCTCCAAGCCGAGCGCTGGTGGCTCACGCCTGTAATCCTAGCTACTCAGGAGGCTGAGATCTGAGGATCACGGTTCAAAGCCAGCCTGGGTAGGAGAGACTGTGAGACTCCTATCTCCAATAAACCACCAGAAAACCAGAAGTGGCGCTGTAGCTCAAGTGGTAGAGCGCTCGCCTTGAGCTGAAGAGCTGAGGGACAGCGCCCAGGCCTAGAGTTCAAGCCCCACGACCGACCAAAAAATAAATAAATAAATGAATTACACCTCCATAAAGTTGATTAAAGGAAGCAGGAAACACTGTCTTACAGGCTAGTTTCAAGACAATGATGGAATCAGATGACCTGAGTTTTTAATCTTGGGAATAAAACTTGCTGCTTTAGGGAAATCTTGAAATCTTCATTTCTATTTTCTCTGGTGGAAAGGTGAAATTAAACTATTATTCCTTTTCATTTCCTCCCTCCAGGAAGGTAAAGTAATATGGTGAAAGTGATTCATGATTTTTTTTATTGAATCTTTATTATTTGAAAGGCTTATGAAAACTACCAATTTTTTTTCTCTTAAAAAGTGAATATCCTGGGCCAAACCTGGTGGTTTATACCTGTAATCTCACCAGCTCAGGAGGCAGAGATGTGGAAGATTGTGATTTGAGGCCAGCCCATCCCCACCCCCTAATAAAGAACCAAGGCCCTACCTGAAAAATAGCAAAAGCAAAGGTTGTAGACATGGCTCAAGTGATGGAACCTCTGCCTAGCAAAGTGAGGCTGAGTTCAGACCCCAGTACATATCATGCACCAATAACATGCATATAAACAGTACATTAAGAGCCCCCCAGACTGCACCTCTCTTTCCCAAGTTTACCCATGACACCCCAGTGAGGAATGATTGCCATGGTGTTTAAAAGAGATATTTAAAGTAAGGATCTGTGAGTCAAGAATGGTGGATAAGGATGATGAGAGAAAGGCTGTGTGCTAGGTGTCTATGTGCTAGGTATGGGAAGCACAGCCAAGTGAAGAATGCTGTCCTTACCTGGAAGGGAGCCTCGGTGGAAGGAAGCATCGCTGCTTAATCCTACTTGGGGTTTCATGCTCTTGTTGATGCCAAACATGGTTTGTTAAATTGACACATTAAGAATTTATGTATTGCATTCACTTTGTGGTTACTAGCTCACGGTTTATCTGGAAATTCATTCCTTAAAGATTTGCTGCCAAAATGCTTCTCACATCTGAGTTTCTAATCATTGTGCTGGTTTACAATGGTCTCCTTTCCCTCCTCCTCTTTTCTTTTCCTCTTTTCTTCCCCTCTCCTCTTGCTCTCTCCTGCACTTTTTCCTTTCTCTTTTTAGTTCTGCTCTCTCTTCCTTCTGTTCTCCCTCACACGCATTCTTTCTCTTTTCCTTTCTCTCTGTTTCCATCTCTTTTTCCACATCTCTCTCTTCTCTCTTCTGTCTGTCCATCTCTCTACTTCTTATTCTTGCATTCTTTCAGTATTCCTGTCTAGATGAATAATTAGTGTGCAAGAAATCCTTTTTTTATGGTACAATTAGGAAATGCCTCCTGTGTTGCACAAACTCCTATGCTTCATTTTCCTTGGCTTAAAAGTTCAGGCTGGATGTGGTAGGTGGCTCATACTTAAAATCCCAGCTATTCTAGAAGCAGATATAGAAAGATCACAGTTCAAGACCAGGCCTGGGGAAAAAGTGGTACTCTTCCTTAACCAATCAAAAGCCTGGCATGGTGGTATACACACACACACACACACACACACACACACACACACACACACACACACACACACACATATAAATGTGTCAGATGCATGTGTGTGTGTGTGAGTGTGTGAGATCTCAGTAAATAGGATTGCTGTCAGTCTCAGACACAAGTGAAACTCTATCTAAAAAATAATTAAAGTTAAAATAAAGTTCAGAATGTTCTGGGTCCTGATGCCTTCAAGGAGCTCCTGTACTTGCCCAAGTTTTGTCCACCTAACCTGGATGACTGCATCTTAAGCCAGAAGCAAAAAGAATTAACTTGGAATGAATGCCTCCACTGGCCCTTTCTCCTTTCCTGTCTATTCTGTGAGTGGAAGGTTGTTCAGAAACTCCTCATGACTCTTTCATGGTGTTGGCTGTGCTAACAGAACCACTTTAATGCTAGAGTGAGTGTTTTGATCCCCCTGCGGAAGAAAGTCTTAGATCCTGCCTCCCAGAGGAGGCTGAGCTCAAGAACCCACTCTGTGTGTGAAGATCCACTTTAAATGGCCTCAGTGATAGGATGTTTAGTTATTTGTTAAAAAGGAGAGATATCGCTCTTCCTTCTCCATCAAGCCAGGGCGGGCCCCTGGCTTGCTGTTCTGTACCAGTAAGAACTTTTCCCCAACAGGTTCAGTGCTGGGCGTGGAGCTTTGAGTATACTTTGTATCTCACCTTGTGGTGTGCTAAAAGTGACCTAACCATCAGCTTTCCTGATTGATTTCTCCTTTCCTTTCACAGAACAATGATGGCAGCATCGACTTCCGAGAGTATGTGATTGGCCTGGCTGTGCTGTGCAACCCTGCCAACACAGAGGAGATCATCCAGGTGGCATTTAAGGTATTGTCAGACCCACTTGCCCATTCCCAGTCATCTCTGTCAACAAATGTTGACTCTAAGTGTATTATCTGAAAAGCCAGTGGACCTGTCACAGGAGCGTGTAGACCCGCTGTGACATGAACAGGAATAATGTGATTAAGTCCATTATTAAATTGAGAATTTAAAAAAAATCAAACACCACCACAAGCATCCATTTAAACAAAAATGGGAGCTGCCTGGCAAGATTGACAAACAGGTGATTGAGCAAATTAGCTTAAAAATTATTTCTTTTTTGGCTTCATGTCTGAAGCCCTGGAGTCAGGTTTATAAATAAACACCAGTTGTTGCTCTTCACCCTAATTCACTCTCTGGAAAAGTCTGATCTGGCTTTCATTTCTCATTCCATGTGTCAGAGATCCTTGAAGGTCATTGGGCTGATAGGATTTATTTTGTTGAGGGGAGAGGGGCAGTCAGGTGAACCCTTGTCCTAAACATCTCAAGTTCTTACCCTGTGTCATCTTCCCAGAGTATCAGGGCGTTTTCACAGCAATGGTGACTGGGAGAGTTGGCATCGTGCTGCTTCAGATGACATTCCTTACCTACAGGGGCACAGAGGAACAGGAAGACTACATTGCAAAGTGAAGTAGGGGAGTAGGGGAGTAGGTCCATGTAAATGAGTTTCAAGCTGATATCATCTCCAGTTAAACAGAAGCTTCATCTGCTGGTCTTGCAAGCTATTCTTCTGCCTCTTGTGCAGTCACGTGATCTCTTTGCCTTTCTCCCGCTTGGATGCTGAGGACTTTTTTCTCCCTGCTTCCCACTCTGACCCCTTCCTGATGGTCTTGGAGACCACTGTGATCTCTCTCCATTTTCTAGAGACCTCTCTTGTCCAGAGTTCTTTCTCCTGCCTGCCTTAGAGTCCACCAATGATAGTATCAGGGACATTTTTGTGTTTTGTCATCAGTAAGAGAGTCGCAAGTTTACTTGTTATCTTGTTGGCTTAAGCAGAGTTAGCTAGGCTTATAAAGAGCCCACCTAGTTGATGTTTAGCAGAAAGTCATAAAACAAGGGCCAGAAATGTTTCAGAAGTTTCAAATCTTCATTTTTTATAGACTTACTCATCATACAACCTAAAATTACACACATAGCTAACTTATTCCAATCTAGACATTTATATTTCTGTTTTGGGTTTGCATGTGTAATGATAAGTTTAGCTAAGCAAATAGTCACTTTTTGGTTTACCAATGAAAGACTTGATAGAAAACTTGCCCCTCCTCCATCACAGTAATTACTGTTTTTAAAGAAGTCGTGAGAATTTTGTCTAGCCTCGACCTTGGTTTGAGGATGGATGGGAGGCAAGGAGAAAGGAAGACTTACATCTATAAATAGCAGTTTTTTCCAGTAAGGCAAAGGTCATGCTCTGTGTTCATTCCTTCATTAATTAATTAAGGTTTTCTTTTATAAGACAAAAATCTCACTATATAGCCTGGGTTATTCTTTCTTTAAACATATGGCTCTCCTGCCTCAGCCTCTCCAGGCACTTGAATTATATTCATGCACTACCATGTCCAACTATCATTGGTATTTTTAACCAATATAAGCTTTATGCTTTCTGGGTTGTCTTTTATATTTTTAGGAATACTTTTGCATATGTTTAATTTTTATTTAATGTTTTATACTATATAGGATTCTATACATTCTTCTCTTGGCTACCACTTCATTTTTTTTTATTGTCAAGGTGATGTATAGAGGGGTTACAGTTACATAAGGTAATAAGTACATTTCTTGTCATACTTGTTACCCCTTCTCTCATTTTTCTCCTTTTTTTTTTTGGTTGTGGATCTTGAACTCTGGGCCTGGGTGCTGTCCCTGAGCTCTTCAGCTCGACTAGTGCTCTATCATTTGAGTCACAGCGCCACTTCCAATTTTCTGGTGGTTAACTGGAGATAAGCATCTCACAGACTTTCCCGCCCAGGCTGGCTTTGAACTGCAATCCTCAGATCTCAGCTTCCTGAGTAGCTAGGATTACAGGCATGAGCCACCAGCACTTCCTATTTAACTTCCTATTATTTTTTATTTCACCTTCATAGTGACCTTTAGAGGTAGAAGGTTTGTACTTCAATTTTTTAGTTGCAAGTGACAGGACAGACTCATGTGCCTTAGTGGAATTAGTTGGGAGGCCAGGGAGTGGGCTGAGGAGACTTCTCAGAACTCACAACCTGTTCCCTGCTCCCCTAGGAAGGCTCCCAAATAGCTTATTCAAGCCTCATTTGGGGCAAGATTCATTATGTTCCCCTCCCATGATCCTTTGTACTCACTCTTGATATCCCTCTTGAGAGTCATATTTCTTTCTTCCACTAAACTATAACAGGACAGGATTTCTCTCTCTCCCTCCCTCCCTCTCTCTCTCTCTCTCACACACACACACACAAATAGCCACAGTCACAGTAGACATTAGAATTATGAAAGAGTTTATTATCTAAGATCATTCAATACCACCTATGCTCTGGGGAGCTCACATTTATTTTGTCTTTCCTTTCAGCTCTTTGATGTCGATGAGGATGGCTACATAATGGAAGAAGAGTTTACCACCATCCTGCAGGCTTCTCTTGGGGTGCCTGACCTTGATGTCTCTGGTCTCTTCAAGGAAATTGCCCAAGGGGATTCTATTTCCTATGGTGAGTAGGCAGTTTGGCTCTTGGTTTACACAGAGGGCATCCAGATGATGAATTGAAACACAGAAATGTTTCTCTTAAATAGTACAAATAATAGCAATAATGAAGGTGGTGGTGCTAACAGTATTGTTATATGGCAGTAGGAGCTAATTATTGAGGACTTGAGCATGAAGCACTCCTCTGAACATTTTGTATATATGAACTTACTTACTCTTTGCAACAAGCCTATTTAACCCATATTTCCTTTTTTTTCAAGAAGGGTACTCATTATTTGATTGAGTACAAAGAAGTTAACTTTCCTATGATCATCCAGGTAAAGAATGTAAGCAAGGATTCAAAATCCAAGGCAGAGGCCAGGCATGGTAGGAAATAATTGTAATCATGGCATTCAGGGGAGAAGGCAGGAGGATTTATGAGGGTTTGAGACCAGCCTTGGCTATATAATGAGCGACATGACCTGTGTCCAAAATAAGAAAGAAATCCAAGACAGTTTGGCTTTAGAGCCTGTATAGTTGTTACCGTTGTCTCCTGTATTTGCTGATGGTGTGGCCAGGCAACATTGAGTAGCACTGAGCAAGTTGGGTTGAAGCTACAGCCGGCTATGGACCAGCAGTAATAACTAATCATTTTTATCTGTTCTATTGTAGTCATGTAGGTAAGCTTTAACATTCACCACCTCCTAACAGCCCTTGGGAGGAAGGCCATTACGACAAAATCCTGTGGTGCCATCTTGAGTCCATCCATTAGTGACTGGTGGACCTTGGTCTTCTGAACAAGTTTCCTAGGGCTGAAGGAGGATGATTTAGTTTCCATGCATGCACAGGGGAGAGGGCTAGGTGGTTCCTTCCTCCCTTAGCTTCAACTTCGTCAAGGAAACCAGGCTGGTTTTATCCTCTAACCTTCTCCTCTGACTGAAGGGTTGTCCCTCTTGGCATTCAAAGGGTTTTAGCCAGTTAACTTTCATGGAATGGGAAGAACAGACAGTAAACCCTGTCTTTAATTACTGTCATTGTGGCTGCCTAATATTGTCTTTAAGATAATTAAGTGCCTGGGGCCCTTAACCAATTGAGTTAGTTAAAAAACAGGCAGGATAAAATAGGGAAGTGTTTGTACTGGCATGACTCTTGATAAATCCATGAGTACTAATTCTCCTCTGACTATTTTCCCCTCATAAATACTCTATTTCAACTACCAAATGGTGAAAAACTGGAGCAACTATTTCATTGGAAAATAATACTAAGTGATTTGTAGCTAGCCTTTCTGTGATTTTTTAGAGAAGTATGCTTTTAAAAAAGAAAAAAAAACTTCAACCCTTTTCTTTTCAAGATATACAGAACGTCTCCCTCTCCCATTATCGATTCCCCTCCACTGCCAATCTAGTGGGGTATTGTTTGTTTGTGCTGGTATTGGGGCTTGAACTCAAGCCCTTTAATACCACTGAAGGTCTCTCACCAATGGGAAACATTCTGTGTATTCTGAAAAGAGAAAGATAGAAGGTTTTTATTTTAAAGCATATTTCTTTTAAAAATACTTAAATTGGTAACAGTAAGGTTAGCTATAAATCACTTAGTACTATTTTCCATTGAAATAGTTGAGCTTTTGAAAAAAGCACTGTGTTGAAACAAAAGTCCTTGGTTTCACTAGATCAACTCTCATGCTCAGTTGTCTTGCAAAAGTGTCCCAGAAGTCTTCTTTCCCATATAGACATAGCACTGTAGAAGAGAACACACACACTTCAGAATTGAGAACAGCATCCTGTATTTAGAACACCAGCTTACTGGAGACTTGGCATTCAGTCCTGATACTGATCAGCCTTCTATACCCATCTCCTCTCTTGATCTAAAACATTTGAGATGTAAAGCAGTCTACTCCTCAGAGGCTTTGTGATATGATTAATATGTACACTATTTTAGCCATTATTGACTATAAACCCCGGCTCAATTTTTTTTTTATTTTTTATTTTTGCCAGTCATAGAGCCTGAACTCTGTCACTGAGCTCTTCAGCTCAAGGCTAGCGCTCTACCACTTGAGCCACAGTGCCACTTCTGGCTTTTTCTGCTTATGTAGTGCTGAGGAATCAAACTCATGGCCTCATGCATGCAAGTCACTGAGCCCCTTCCCAGGCTCCCCACTCAACCCTCCTCCCCCCAGCTCAATTTTTCAAGACTGGGTCTTTCTATAGCAGAGTTAAGATCTAAAATAATTTTAAAAGCCATCATAGACAGCTATTGCTAAAAACATCAAATGGACTTAAGATTTTAATCTATAGCACAGTGATGTTTTGGGGTCCGGTTGTGGGGCCTGAACTCGGCATGGGCACTGTCCCTCAGCTTTTCAGCTCAAGGCTACCACTCTACCACTTAAGCCACAGTGCCACTTCCGGCTTTTTTTGCTTATGTGGTGCTGGGGAATCGAACCCAGGGCCTCATGCATGCAAGGCAAGCCCTCTGCCACTGAGCCACCTTCCCAGCCCCCACAGTGAAGTTTTATAAGGTGAACACTTGTATAACCTTCATCCCATCATTCATCTATTCCTGACAGACTTCCATTTTTGTTTATTATGAATAATGTTGCTATGATCATTCTCATACTTGATTTCCAGAACGCACTAGGCACAAATCATCCTAGGTGACATACCTCATGATGGAATTTAGGAACCCTGGAATAGGCATATTGTCACCTGGACTAGTGAATGCAAAACCCATCTTCCAAAGTGAGCTTACAATTTACATTCCCACTAGCCATGTTGGAGCTGAGTGACAGAATTGCACAATAATTGTATGTTCAGGAATGTTTGGTATTCTGCATCATGAGCAAAGTAGATTCATCCCAATTTATTTGATTTTTTTCTCTCTCCTTCTAGAGGAATTCAAAAGTTTTGCCTTAAAACATCCGGAATATGCTAAGATATTCACAACATACTTAGACCTTCAGACATGTCATGTATTCTCACTGCCAAATGAAGCCCAGCCTGCTCCTTCCATTCCAAGTAATAAAGTCAGTCCTGAGAGCCATGAAGAAAGTCCATCAGACAAAAAGGATGACTGAAAGTCATATTGCCATGAAGAACACAATGGTGTGGGCTTGAAATTATGCAGGCATTTGTTGATCATATTTGAAATGTCTGTTGAGCAATAATGTCTAAAATGGAAAGCTTTTATTGTAAAAATGATAGATTTTCTTACTAAAAATGCTTTTATTAATTTGCACATATTTGGTCATATTCCTTTTCCACTTGCTATAATGCTGTATTGGTCTACTGAGGATAATGCTGCTTATTTCTTAATGGATATTTCTAATTTAATTGGCATAACCAAAGGAATACCTCGGTTTTGTTATTTACTGGTCAGCATTAATTGACACTGTAAAGAGTTTTAAAATATACTTTTAAATTCGCTTTCTTCTTTTAAAAAAACACAATAATATTATTATTTTTCTCTAATCCTTTCCCTTTCTGGGAAAATAAGAATCTGAGAGAAACATTTCCGTTTTCTTTTTATTTCCACAGATTTCCTTTTCCGTTTAAACTTTGATTTCTTGGATCACTGGATCTAGAAAGGAGGGCTCCAGTCATAGATGAGGTTTTGCATTCATGTATTTCCCTCCCACACCTCTCTCTGTGTTTCTCTGTCTCTTTCTACCTCTCCTCCCCTTCTTTCTCTGTATGCTGGTCCTGGTGCTTGAACTTAGGGCTTTGCACTCTTGCTCAGCTTTTAAAACCCAAACTGGCACTCTACCACTTAAGCCACAGCTCCCATCTGTCATTTTGCTACTTAATTAGAAACTCAAAGACTTTTTGCCCTGCTAGCTTTGAATCTCTATCCTCCAATCTCAGCCTCCTGAGAAGCTAGGATTATAAGTATGAGCCACCAGCACCCCTCAGGACTCATTTCTCTTTAACTTGTATCTCTACTCCAGGTTTTCTTAAACTACAGAAATCATATGGTTTTACATGAGCTACAGGGTTGGAGCTGTGTTTTACAGATGACTGATGCTGTGGCCAGAGGCGAAGTGGGAATTGCCTTATTGAAGGGGACATTGATTGCCTAATGAGAAAATGAATTGTTTGCCACACAATTAAATTTAATTTGAGTGGATGGTTCGGAAGGTAGCACCTGGCCAATAAGTAAATCAGATTTGTTCTATTTATATAGTTGTAGCATTAATATATTTTACCATCCAGAAGGAAATTTTGTTTCATGTCCTCTCAAATTTTAGAGATGATCTAAAATATCTACATGAAATCAACCTATCACTAAACTCCAGGGAACCCAAAAAACCATAATAAGTCAAGGCCATAATTTATGGTCCTGGCAGGAATCCAAGAGTAACTTTTTCCGTCTAGATCAAACAATTATTTCCCTGACTTGCTGCTTTTATTATGTCTCATGCCTACATATTGCATATTGTTAGTATCATTTATGTTGGAGATTTTGAACAAAGAACCCAACTCTTTGTTTTGTCTGTCTTTCAGAATGTATTAGTGATTCACCCTCAAGCTAGTATTTTGAAGTCATTTTTGAAATTGGAAAGGCTCATGAGAGAGTTGGAGATTGTACCTAATCAAGAGTTATTATTTTAAACTTGTTTTACTTATTAGCAGTTAGTGTTCTAACTTAATGGGTAAATATGTATTTAGATCATTGAATACCAGAAAATTTCCTCTTTAAGTATGTGTAATTATTTGTGTGTTTTTTTAATGTCTTGAAGCATTTAAGAAATTGTGTGAGAGAAGCTGGAATAATTGCATAAGTAATTCATTATAGTAAGTAATGTTTATAATAATGTTTGTCATATGCAGTGAATATATACTCAGGTACCATGATTTTTTTTAATCATGGAAAAAATAACCACTTATTAAACCGATTAATCACAGAAGAGTAGCACTGTAAATTAAAGGATTTCTGTGAGGTTCTTAAAAATGACCTCTTTGTTCTTCTGGTTTAAAACAATGTTTTATGCACTCTACTTCCACTTCTCTGAATGTAATATTCCTATGTTATGATTGCATTGCTGAATAAACAAACAGTATATAAAATTCTTGGCAATTAAAGAAAAATTCTGATCTTGCCATTTTGTCTTAAATATACCCTTTTTTAATATCATGGATTGAATATGTTTTTATTCATATTTATGAATTTGACTGTTTTTATTTGCATTTAAGCTTTATGAAATGTCAAACATGACTTTGATCTAATGAAAAGTCAGATTTTACCCATAGTAGCAGGAGCCACGATTCTTAAAGAGCTGGACTTGGCATGGTATGCATGTGAAATAATACACACTTCTCAGTGCTGCCGCAGAGCACACTATGATTTTCTGAGGCAATTTTCTAAGACTTAAAGTGAAGAAGGAAGCTCATAAATTAGTTAAACGTACTATGGTGCTAACTTGGAGGGAGTTACTCTTTGAAATAGGAACTACAGATCCTAAAACCTATAGCCCATAAGTGTTTCAATCAAAACAGTTCATGTTTTTTGTTTGTTTGGTTGGTTTTTGTTGTTATTGCTGTTTTGTCAGTAATGGGGCTTGAACTCAGGGCCTGTGCACTGTTCCTGAGCTAACTCTCTACCTTTTTCAGCAACAGTGCCACTTCCAGTTTTCTGGTGGTTAATTGGAGATAAGAGTTTCACAGACTTTCTTGCCTGGGCTGGCTTTGAGCTGCGATTCTTAGATCTCAGCCTACTAACTAGCTAGGATTACAGGTGTGAGCCACCAGTGCCTGGCTTCTAAACAGTTCTGTTGAAAGATAATGACACACTTGGTGTTTGGTGACAAGATTGATGAATGACACGTTTGCCTCCCTTTGACTCTGCTTTGAGGCTGAGTGTGACAATTGATGGTGGTCTCTCTAGTGAGCAGTTCAAGGAGACTGGCTCCCTTACTTTGCAGTTAAGCTTACCTAACGTTATTTATATGTGAATACACTTTATTGCCTTTTGCTTCCAGCACTTAGATGATGTACTGGACACAAAGTAAACACTCAATATTTGATGCATGTATGAGTAACAACATTTTCTTTTGGTTGTGTCTCATGTGGTATAAGAAGAGAGAAAAACTTGAAAATCTGAAATTATTTTCTCCAGAACTCCTACATAAATTTAAGGCCCTAAGAGATTTTAGTTCTTGCATAGAGTTATATAATGAGCAAATACCAGGGCTGCAATTTAAACCCAAGGCTCTCTGGCCCTGAATATGGGGATTTTTTTTTTATCAGACTAATGTAATTTGAGCCCATAAAATAACCAAAGAATTACACGTCAGGCTTTAAGTTCCAGAAACATGGAAACCAGCTAATCTGAGAACACTCTGGCCACAATACCACGAAGATACTGAAGTGAATGCCCCACACATATTTTTAGCATGTGGATGAGTATATAAGATACTAAGATTGTCTCCAGCAGCCAAAAGAGGAAAGGGAGTGCAAACCAGGAGTACAAAACTGGCAGTCACCCTGAAGACATCTGCCAACCTCAGTCCCCAAAAGGTTTCCAGGCCTTATAGCTTTAGGAGACCAAAGATACAGTTTTTATATAAGGTTGGGATTTGGAACTAAGATCCCAGAGGAGAAGAACAAAATGACTTTTGAAGGGCTACATTATCAATAAAAGAATGAGCTGGAAAGAAACCCATCTTCTGTCAAAGCAACAATATGAAGATGTTATCTGTCTGGGCCTGGGCTTCAGACACAATGTTCTATAGTAGATTTATTTTTTTTGTACAGTGCCTGGGGCTTGAATTTAGGGCCTGGATGATGTCCCTTAGCATTTCAGCTCAATGTTGGTATGCTAACACTTGAGCCACAGCTTCACTTCCAACTTTTGGGTGGTTAATTGTAGATAAGAGTCTCACTGACTTTCTTACCCAGCCTGGCTTCAAAACATAATCATCAGATATCAGCCTCCTGAGTAGCTAGGATTACAAGTGTGAGCCACCAGCACCCAGCTTTAAAAGGCTTTGAGATTCATTTCTAACCCAGTTTACTTTCAACCTGGGAAATGTTCCATGCGCACTCAAAGGAATACATCTTCTGCACTGACAGAGTATGGTGTTGTATAAATATAAGATCCAGCTGAATGACTGCTCCATCATAGTACTGTTTATAGCAGCTTTATTCACAGAAGTAAAAACAAACTGAGAATGACTCAAATATCCATCACTGGGTGAACAGGTGAACTGTGATACATCTGTACCATGGAGGAAAAGGAACAAGCTATGGACAGTCAGCAATCTGGAGGAATCTGTAGAAGACTAGAGTGTACCCCCCTGAGAAGAGGCAACCTCACACTATGTACAACTGTTCATAATGATCGCATTTATGTAATGTTATTGAAAGGAGAAAAGTATGGAAATGGAGAGCAGATGTGTGTTTTACAGAGACTACGGGAATAAAGGTGGAAGAGAGGAGGAGATGGAGAGGCTTTTAGCAGCAGCACAAGAAAGCCTGTGATGGAGGTATCTGGGCCAGCCTGTTGTCCTGACTCTGACGTCCATTGTGACCTTGCAGGATGTTAGCAAGGGGGACCAGCAATCTCTCTGTTATTTCTCAAAGCTGCTTCTGAATCGACAGTTATTTCAAAAAAAGAGTGATTTTATTACCCTCTGGGGGGAAAACATTTTAGGAAGACAAAAGTGGGCATAACAACATATTAAGGGAAAAATTTTAAATCTTAGAACTCCTAGAACTCTACAGACACACTCTGCCAATGTTTTTGAAAAGGTTGATTGGATGAACATGATAAAAACAAATAGAAGAAAAATCTAACTGCAGATGAAAACTTGATCGTATCTATGAATACATATATATCCACCCTGGACTACATAAGTGTTTAGTAAAATTAGAAAAGTCCAAGTCAGGTGCCAGTGACTCACGCCTGTGATCCTAAACAGCATGCTTCGGATCTGAGGGCTGTGGTTTGAAGCCAGCCAGCAAGAAAGTCTGTCAGACTCTTACCCCGATTAACTGCCAAAAAGCTGAAGTTTAGCTGTGGTTCAAGTAGTAGTTAGCCTGGAGCAAAAGGCTAAGGAATAGTGCCCAGACCCTAAATTTAAGCCCCAGGATGCACGCGTATGCGCACGCGCGCGCGCGCACACACACACACACACACACACAGACACACACACACACACACACACACACACACACCACACTCTAAGATCCTTGAAATA